CGTTGGTGAAGGTGAAGGGACAAACTATCACTTCCGAGGCGATCTGGATGTAGCTATCTTTCCGGAGCGAAGCTGAGGAAAGATAGCGTATACATTCTGATCGACGAGGAAGTGATAGTTTGCCATCGCCTGAAACCAAAAGGTGATTATTTGCTTTATATTCCACATCTAAAAACAATATAACTACAACAAGAAAAGGACTGTATGCATCTACATGAAAGACACCAGGCCCAAATTCACACCAAAAAGGTTAAACGTTTAACCCAACCCCATGAGGGTACGGTGCGCGCATGGGTTTGCTTTAATTGCGCTCATTGGTAATGCGCGCTTAATTACGCCTATTTTAGTGCGCTTTTGGATAATCTTCAGTGAAAGTGCGTTGCCCTTTGTAGATAGTACTTCTATCTTCAGTAAAAGTGCGTTGCCCTTTGTAGATAGTAGTAATATCTACAAAGGGCAACGAACTGTTTGCTTCTCCCATCAATGATGGGCGAACTATCTTTGATCACGTGATTTACTTATGACCAATCGTAGAGCAAGATTCTTAGTTTGTGGAATATAATAATAAATATAGGGCCGAATGACCATACATTTGTAGGACTATACGGTCAAGGATAGGATTGATTACGCGGGAAGAAAAATTGTGCACATTATCACTGATTTGGCTGCCTTTGTAAATATGACCCAGTAATGAGTATCATCAATATCATTATTATCACTATTGTTATTATTATAACTATCATTGTCATCAGTACTACAACTTTTGAGAATAACATAGATATTATGATTTGCGTGAGTTAATACTTGGATATATCATTGTATTGATATTCTTCATTTTAAAATCATCTTTCTTCTCTCGTAATTACGAAATATAAGGCGTCACCGAGGATATTTTGATCGCTGCTATTCGTCAGGAATACACGGACTGGACCATTGCAGATAACTCTTCCGCCAACCAGATGCCGTCCTTCATAGAATATGCTGGAGACCAAGGGTTTTCCTGCCCTTCAGATCAGTTCGCTAGATACCATGCTGGTGTGGGGGACACAGTGTTCAAGTATTTCTTTACGCATGAACCATCAGGGTAGGTAGTGGCTAGTGTTGGTATGACGACTATTATCAAATACTATCATTACAGCTGATCGTCAGGGTCTGAGATGTTACCGGTGACCATGTTTTACCGGACGTGGCAGGCCTATCAAAAATAGAATATAAGAATAAAAAATTCTGAATGCCTTGAGTGGTGTTATATTTATATGAGGCCTCAGGTCGAGGCTAAAACATATTTGATGGCGCGATGAAAATTTCGAGGTGAAATACTTTGTTATATTAAAGGGACAGTGATGGACATCCAAGCAGACCAACATCCTCTTAGAACTATCGAGAGCCAAAGTATGCTGACGACGTCAAAACTGTGCGTACACAATATCAAAATCATAACAAATAACCTCATTATTCTACAAATTAGATAGTGTATCGTAGGGTACAAATATTCCGCTAAAGAGATCAAGAAAATGGTCTTGTGACGTATTTTATATTGTTTCATCTTATCTCTTTCTGCAAGGTCTGTTTATCAAGGGTTCCCGGAATGGTTTGGAGCCGGCCACGGAGAGGAGCTTACATTTGTGTTTGGAACGCCCTTCGTTGAACAGCTCTCTGACAGAGATATATATCTGCTGACAGACGAAGAGAAGACATTGTCAGTCAAGATGATGAAGTCCTGGACTAACTTTGCCAAATACGGGTAAAGCAGATCTCGTAATGAGAGTCAGTAGCGTAAGGTGAAAGGAGAATATCATAGAAGTATTCCATGTAGAAGATTGCTCTTTAAGTGGCTGTCTCATATTTAAAATATGACAACAAATGGCTATATAGTAGTGGACCAAACTTTAATGTGTGTCTGGTCAAGTATAAACATGTTTTTGTGGTGTCCATCTCAACACAAAGTAACAAACTCACATAACCATAGGCCTTACATTGTATAAACTTGCAAGTTTACAATTTACCCAATGACTTGCGATGAAATTAATTATCACAGTATTAGACATGCGGGGCCCTAATCTGAATATGTGTCTCTTCATTTAAATGTCTTCTTCTTTTTTAAGAGAGAGAAAGAGACAAATTTCAGATATATTATATATACATGTAACATGTAAAATGTGGTTACCTTTGGCCCCTCTTTTTAGGGATCCGACGCATGGCGCTAACCCGAATGAAGGGTTGGGCAGCTGGCCATCTTTCACGGTTCCTGAGCTCTCTTACAAGGAGATATCTCTAGATATCGCTAATGATGGAGTAGGGAGGGCACTGAAGGCCAGGCAATGCCACTTTTGGAATGACTATTTCCCGAAGCTCCAGAAATTCGTCGGTATGTAAATCGCGTTTATTTCCACTCATAATCAATTCTCGCATATTTTTTTTTACATATTTTTAAAATAATTTCCTGCATGAATAAGCAGAGACATTTGTTTTCATTTTCATGCATGTAATAATGAATGGTCATGTATTGATGATTTCTTACAGATGAAAACATCTTCTTCTTTTTTTTATTTTCCTTTTAACTCACCTATGAATATATAAAAAGCGTTCTCTTCTACAATCTAAAAACTGTTTTGACGGACTTTAATTTGATGCAAGTTCTTCTTCTAATGTTTTCATTTTAATTGAAACGTTACCATTCTAAGCTAAGAATGCAACACAATCGAAGATTTAGTATTTGTTAGCACGTGGGGTCCTAGTCATAAAATGTTTGACCAAGGGCATACCCCCGTCTCCCTCCACCAACCTGTATTGCTAGATAGGTTATTGACACGGGATGGGGGAGATTATGCTCTCCCAGCTTCCCCCCAAACAACAACAATAGCCCCGTTACTGATGAGAAAGTGCCCCTCTTGCGATGGAAAATGTCCACCTGTGGTGAAATGCTCCCCTTGATTACTTTATAAATCAAACAGAATTAAAACATGTACGCTTTTATACAAATATACACCATCCCTTTTGTGCAGTGTATAATATTTAGTTTACAATTCAATTGGTTTTTCATTTTTCCAGCTTCCCAATCGATGGACGATTTGTCGGAGTGGCAAAACGAGTTCAAGAACTGGCAAGGTCAATTGACTAACTGGCAGCAGGCTTATGATGAATACAAGGAAGCTCCAAAATGCAACTAATCCTACTTCTGGTGTTCTGCCTGATTCTTGAATACAGACTAACGCGGCACTAAGGACATTTAAAAAAATATATTGAATGATTTGTTCTCCAATGCTTCCAATTTTATTTCATATTTGATAAACAAACAAATCTTTTTTAACGTGAACCAAATAAACACAATTCTGAAAAGGTTCATGATTCTCAGTTTTAGGACTTATAAATGTACAAAACTTACAATATATTTCCATAACAAGGTATCATTTTGTGATAGTCAGATGATATATATATTTTTTTACAAGATCTAAATATTTCAAACATAATTCTTGCAGAAATGAAGCAGTGTGTATTCATATAATAATCAATGCCCAGCCTACTTCGTAAACCCTCTCCCATCCTCCATTTCTTCTTGAAATCTAATGATTTATATCACAGTCACACCAACGAGACCGACACGAGACCGGCAACAAACCGACCATCAAATTACATTACTCTCAATGGCAAAGAAGCAGTTCGTGTTGAGTAGGTTTTTGAGTCGGTATATACCGTGTGACTGAGGTATTAGCGAGATGGATGGATAGAAAATAAATATATTTTTGCATTGAGTACGTCTTTCAAAATCCACCTATATCAAGATTAGTATAGATTAGTAGCTGAAGAGATAATTCTAGAATTTTCAAGAGAGGATATTTAATAAAAACACGTAGAGCTCAGCAGATGTTAGGTGAATAACTTGCACCTCAACTCTTGAAATCTTTTACAAAAGTTAAATGGGATTTGTCGATCTCGGTACTGTTAATCATGATAACTTAATAGTTATTACAACAATAATGAAGACTCATTATTTATTATTTTCTTTCTTAAACAGTTTTGTATAATTCCATTTTATTAAACTAAAACCTTAAACAAACAAAAGTATGTATGTCGCGCTTCATGGTGTATTTAACAATGTTCGGTAGCTAATTTGTTAATTTTGTAGGTCCTGCGGAAGCAAACTGTACGAAGTGGAAAAGTAAACTATGTACATGTATTATGATTGTGAAATGTAGTATAATATGAAATATTATGAAAAATACGTCGATCCTAACATCGTAGAATTATAGAAACAACTGTTTAGCTACATGAAGAAATAGGGTATGACTTAATTGATTATAACACGGTAAGACGGATGTATCTGGGATACACGTTTTTTTTTAAATGTAGAATTACTTTTTTTTTTTAACCGTATTAAAGCGATGTAAAGCGATTATGTCGGAGAAAATCATACCCTGTTTCACATTGGTGTGAGCGCATGGCAACATTTCATTGGTGTCAAGACGTGTAAAATATTTTCAAAGTCATTGTTTACTCGGGCGTAATTTTCCCAGGATAGTGGCCTCTGCAATAAGTTGCTTAGAATGAAAGCATAGAATAATCAATAAGAGATAATGTTCCATCGATTTATGATATGTCAAATGATATGATATGTCAGATCATGCCAACGTCATGATAGTTTTAAATTATAGGGGAATCTCTGGTTAGCATATTTGAAATATCTCTATCAAAGTCACCCTGATGTAATGTAAAAGTATTCTTCTGTGTTTCCATACGGAAAAGGGGATTACAATAATGTCATATTGTCTTTTCTGATCTTAATGTGTATGGCTATCATAGAGAGAGGAAGAGAGAGAGAGAGGGAGAGAGAGATATATTGAAAAGGAGAGAGAGAAAGGGGAGAGAAAGACAGAAAGAGGGGAAAAAGAAGGACAGACAAAGAAAATGAGAGAGGGAGGGAGAGAGAGAGAGAGAGAGAAAGAGAGGGAACAAGAAAGAGAGAGAAAGAGAGAGAGAGAGATAGGACATAAAAATGAGGAAAAGAGATTTTAATAGGAATAGTATTAAACATTCTTTCTTTTCGAATACTGAAATAGTACATTTCTGCAGATCCAATGTAGATTTCACCCTTGAATAAAAGCAGAAATACCTAAGAAGTAGACAAATAATGGAGATTTATCAGGTACAATGAAAGTTGTGGGTTATTGCGATAATCAAATACAAATCACACCATCGTCTATTAATAACTATGATTTCATAGCTCATCTCCGTTTGCAAACAATTTTCATGAAGTAAGTATCATTAACCTTTATCTATAGTCCTAGAAGAAGAAGAAGGAAAGACAGTATCGCAATGAATGACAAGCATACCCAAATATGGGCCCAAACAAAGCCCCAAAGTTTGCACAAGAATGCTGATGCATAAACGATCAGCACCAAATACGTGACCAAACACATTCTTTGAATCGGGCGAAAGACGCAGGGATAATCTTTGACGGTGACAGTGAATTTTAGGCTTGCAACAGACTAAATCAACGTGAAGAGTCCTTATCATTGAATTTTGTAAAATGGATTTTTACATCCTTCTCAGCCTTCTCTTTCTTGCTCTGATGCCCGAAGTATCAATTGCAGATCCAAACGTGACCGTAGCCCAAGGCATGCTTGTGGGAAAAACTGTACATTTTACAGAGGAGAACTTTATTAATGTCAATAAAGATTTTGATATTTATCTGGTAAGCTATCTTTCTTATACAGTGCCTGGTAATTAGTCTTATAATTAGAAATTGTGAATGAGTTTTTAAACGAATGACATTAAAACCAAAATCAATTATATTTTTCTTTATTTGATATAAATAAAGAAAAGCTCTTGCCATAAAATATCCAAAATGTTAGAATGTACTAAGTTTGTTTACGAAAATCAGAGGTTTCAAGTTTCATGAACTCCAAAAATCATATATTACATTGCTTCATTAAAATAACTATTATTATTTTAATTATCTATATTTATTTATAATGATTATAATAATGAAATGACAGTTGTTATAATAATATTGTCATTATCATTCTCATCATTATCATCATAGTTCATATTATATTCACTATGTTTTTGTCATCATTAGTGGGCTTCATTTTCTATTACATTTAAATTTGAATGTCCAAATTAACTCTTACAGTGCTACGATGTACAGGCAGTATAAATTCGTATGAATAGTCAAAAAAGAACTAACACAGACATGACAGAGCATAATTCTTTTGTATAAAATTAATGAAGAAAATAATGTTGTATCTACCCGCTTTTGCCAACAGGATATATAATTGACAGTGGAAAACGAAACAAAATATTCCCCAAATATAAAGAAGAAGACATTTTGTGCTATAAATCATAATCATTTGTCTATTTTAAATCTACCCCGGCCAATGATTTTCCGGAGAAATTTATTTGTTATTCCATCATTCCAATTAAAAAAATAATAATAATATATAGATCTTCTATCACATTTCATAGAATGCATAATGTATACAGAATATATAGAGTTAAAGCTATAGCTCACTTAACTATGAAAGCACTCGTCCTATAGAAACGTGATGTGGACACTTGTTGTTGAATGCCACTCACTCATATTTACTAACTCGCATATACGAAAAATTGCAAAGTCACAGTTCACTTTTATTTATTTTGAACTCCGACGCACTCAATCAATATAAATACTTGAACAAAGGCACGCTATAACGTCTATTATCGTACTCAGTATCAAAACATAGACTTTGGAACTTTCGTTTCAATCAGCTCATATTTACCCCAGAGTTGACGAAACTTGTGTGTGTCCAAAAGTGGGAGAAGCAAGAAATCTGTATTGTATGGAAAAAAAGTAAATAGTGAAGGACACATAATAATGCCTAATTTTTAATAAACAATAATTAAATGGAAGTAGATGTAAAAGTACATTGATATGAGATGATAATTATAAAAGATGTCCCTTTCTCCTCCAATCTACATCACAAATATGTCATGTAACAAAACAAGGAATTGGCATTGTTTTTATTGAAAGGCATCGTAGTGTATTGGAAGCAACGTGATATATTTATTGAAGGCTTTGAACTCTTAATATTAAAGAAGGTTCGTTCCTTGCTCTGTGCTTTCATTCATCGACAACGTACTTTGCCCACGACAAATTGTATAAATGGGTACCTGGCAATGCTGGGGTAATAAAAATTACAGGAACCATAGGAAAAGCATTATTAACACTGATGAGGCTTCCTTTGGTAAGTGAGACCATATTATTATCATTATTGCCGTTATCATTGTTATAATTATTATTATTACTATTGTTTGTATTATTATCATCATCATTATTCTTCTTCTCGTGATTATAACCACTACTATTTTTTTTTAATTTGTATTTTTCCCCACAGTAGGGCGTTTTATTAAATAATAAAGCAGTATACACTTTTCTTCATAACAACAGCTATTGCGTGATGACAACATTGACTGGATACAACATTGAAAACGTAATAATAAGACACATAACATATTGTAAGAGGACCTAAGGTCAGATGCCAATAATGTGCATCACAATGCCAGCCAGCACCCACCGACCACTCTCCAAACACCCAACAAGCCAGAACAATAGATCTGGTCCAGATGTTCTTGCTCGGTAACTCCACTGCTCTCACCCGCTGAGCGCAAGAGTGCCGACCGCCATCGTATAACATAACATTGATTAAACATATAATCACCATTACTAAAAAAGACCATTGAAACCTGACCAATATCTTTCAAATGAATCTTGCTTCATATTTTCACAAAAGATAGTTTTGTCAAAACCAAAATAAATCTTTACCTCGTTTAAAACTTGTTGTAGTAAAAGGAAAATTCCAGCCAATTTGTTTTTATAAAATACCCATTTAAACCAAATGATAATTGAATTTAAAGCTTTATTAAATTTATTGGGTGTGATTCCCGAAAGAACATTTTCGACTGTTAATTTCAACACAAGTTTACATCTTTCGTACAATTTCTTTCGAAATATTCCCATACATTCCTTACTATGTGACATTCAAAAAATAGGTGTTCAGTGGGTGTTCGATAGGACGATTGGTCAAAAGTAAATCACGTGATGAAAGATAGTTCGCCCATTAATGATGGGAGAAGCAAAAGTTCGTTACACTGTGTAGATAGCACTACTATCTACACAGTGCAACGCACTTTCACTGACGATAGGGGTACTATCTACATAGGGCAACGCACTTTCACTGAAGATTATCCAAAAGCGCACTAAAACAGGCGTAATTAAGCGCGCATTACCAATGAGCGCAATTAAAACAAACACATGCGCGCACCGTACCCTCAAGGGGTTGGGTTAAACTGTTTAACTTTTTTGGTGTGAATTTGGGCATGGTGTCTTTTTTGTACATGCATACACGTCCTTTTCTTTTTGTAGTTAATTTTTTTAGATGTGGAATATAAAGCAAATAATCACCTTTTGGTTTCAGGCGATGGCAAACTATCACTTCCTCGTCGATCAGAATGTATACGCTATCTTTCCTCAGCTTCGCTTCGGAAAGATAGCTACATTCAGATCGTCTCGGAAGTGATAGTTTGTCCCATCACCTTTACCAACGGTAGTTATTTGCTTACTATACTACCACTACTACCACCATTTCTACTACCACTAATATTACTACTACTACTATTTACTACTACTTCTTCTACTACTACTACTACTACTACTACTACAACTACTGCTACTACTACAAATAATACTACTCCTACTATACAACTACTACTAATAATAATACTAATACTAATACTACTAATACTACCACTGTTACCACGGTTACTACTATCATTATTATTGTTATCATTATCACTGTTACTAGTATTTTTCCATGATAGGGAGTACCGTTTGCGGAGCCGCCTCGTCGCTTCAAACCACCAGTCGCCAAACGGCCATGGGATGGGCCTCTTAATGTGACGGAGTTCAAAGATGCTTGCACGCAGCTTCCGATCTTCGGGACCATAATGGAATCAATGTCCGAGGATTGTCTCTATCTCAATGTCTATTCTCCTAGCCCGAAGGTAGCCTATATCAATTGATGATAAAAAAACAAGCTGTTTAAAACATATTTTTAATATTTCCCTTAATCACGTTGGAAAAGAATTTTGAAAAATCAACCAAAGCAGTTTCAAAAGTCCTGTCAATTACTCATTGAAATAAGCGAACACACAATGACGCATTATGTAATTTTTCTTATGTCTTTGCTATCGCGTTTTTTTAATCAATCTGCTTTTTCAGAAGACTACAACTTGAAATATGTGTACGACAGCATTTCATATTAAAAAATGGACTATTTCCCTAATATTTGTCAAGCATTCTAATTTATCTTGGGCATGATTCATTCTTCAAAAGTCGTGATAGTAGGCCCGATTCATCAGATAGACCATCTAAGGATCGATTCTGTTTGAGTATGTATAACCAATTCGAAACTACATCTGTAAGAGACATGCACTCCAATGTAGTGGTTAAATAAAGATTTGTAGAGTTAATCCCACTATTAAGCATCAACTTCCATTCCTAAAGAAGCAATCCCTAATATGGCTCCCCCATAATGCATTTCCACTCCTGTTTATTTAGAGAATAAATGATTTCCAGCAATTTATATTTTTGTATGTAGCCCACGAATGCAACAGTTATGGTATGGATCCACGGCGGAGGGTTCACTGCAGGGACAGCCAACCAATACGAGTTTTACGGGGTTCCACTGGTCGCTGTCGGTGACGTCATCGTGGTGACAATCAACTATCGACTAGCAGTCTTTGCCAAGTTCACCACAAGTAAGTTTTACAATTATAACAAGGACGCTTTTCATTGTTTCCAATCAAATCATTTTGATGATACGTAGTATATGTTCTTTTTAATTTTGATCGTTCTTTAGCTTTAAGATACTATATGTCCCTTTTGCAGCCAACTTCAAATTCTGTAGAACTTTGCAGGAATTATGAATATGTCATGTATGTCCTATATGTGAAATTTAAACGTTATCAGTGTCCTAATATTCAATTTATTCAAGGAAACCTGTTTACATGCTAGAATTCAGTGTCAGACACTATTGAGCGACTGACTGGTTTTTTTACTTCTTTGATAATAACATACATAAAATGAGCTATAAAGGGTACATGAGCATTTGTCTACATCAATAACCCACTTCTTGTAATGGCCATAATCAAATTGATTGAATCTTTCGACAGCATAAAACGTACGACCATTCGGTACAATGGTCTGAAAATCAGACTATTACTTTCTGGCGCTATAGCTCTTAAGTTGATTCGAAAACTAATACTCGTTATTTTCCGACTTTAAGACATTTTCAAGCCGCCCTTTTTTCTAGGGAAGTTCTAAATTAGTATTATCTTTCAAATGCCGGTCGAATTTAACCTTTTCATTTTTTGGGGCCTGCAAATGGGGCATAGCACCTTTAACAACGTTTTTTTTTTATTCGGTATGGCCCTAAACATTATGGTCAACGTGTCAATTTCAGTTTCAGGTTATATTTCACATTTTCCAATGATTTCACAAAATAAATGGTACAAATAAACATAAACTCCATTAACAGTAAAAAGAAAGAAAAAGTGACAGCATCGTACCAACTGTTTGAATGCAATTAAAAGACTGAACTGAAAAGGAAAATGGAATATAGAGAGCCCTATTAAAGGTGAAATATATAATACACCAGTTTACGGCTACAACAGTGCGCATGCGCAGACATGGGCGCCATTTTAACTTACGAGTAAACAAACCATTGACCTCTAGAGGTTAGTGGTTTACGCGTAAATTGATACGGCGCCCATGCACATATGATGTGAACGCAGAGCGCAGGCAGTGACGCAACAATACATGCGCATCTGAAAACATTGATGACACTGCCTGCGCTGTGCGCTCGCATCATATTTGCATGGGCGCTATCTTAATTTACGCGTAAACAACTGACCTCTAGAGGTCAATGGTTTGTTTACTCGTAAATTAAAATGGCGCCTATAACCGTAAACTGGTGTATTGACTTCATAGTATTCTTTTTTTCTAAATCATGGAACTAGCAATTACCCTCAATCACAACAATATAATTCGTATTTAAAAAACGAACAATGTTAGTATTTATATTACAATCATGTCACAATTCAATGCTATTTAAAAATGTGGTAATTTCGTATTTGAATTTTTTACATTTTTTACGGAAAATTTATTTACGATCAAGCTTCATCTCACAATATAGAATTTAATTGATAGTCTATGGAATACTACCTTTTAGGACTAAATACTAATGTAAAAATATCATTCGTTGAATGCTCGATATCTATTTCTTTTTCCCCAGAGGATGCCGAAGCACCCGGTAACGTGGGGATGTTGGATCAAGTAGCTGCTCTTCAGTGGATTCACGATAACATTGAAGGTGTCAATTTTTTTCAAATCCAATGTTCACTAATTTTTAGATAGCAGATGTAAATTGATCATAATACATATGTGGGTAACTCAACCAAATTGCCAATGATATACAACTATTCATGTTACATTGAAATCATTATAATTAATTAGAAAACAATTTTCTTCTAAATGTCATTATAAACCCGACATCTAGTTTTGGCCGTGTGCGTGTTGAATATGATTTGAAATGTACACAGTTATTAGGATGAAACTTACCCATGCATACACCGCTACAGAGAGCAAAAACAACAAAGCTGTCATCGTAAACAATGTTAACAATTTCGGGTAAATAATAAATACGAGACTTAACTTAAAATTTAAGGAAATATCCAACCTTAAAAGAAATGACTCTAAAAGAAAGCAAAACAAATCATAGAAGCAGAATGGTGAAAGGTTGAACGAAACCTGACAAAACATGAGACAGTTTTGAGTTTTTGAAATCCATAATCACTATACGTATGCGAACTTCATATTGGCTGAATCGGTAATGTCACTAATGTGACGTAGCGCTGGACTACTTTCCTTTATATTCCTACACACAAAATGACTAAAATACTTTTTTAACGTATGACTCGGGGAAAGTCTCCAGTTTTTTTAGAAGACCTATGATAATATGCTTTCCATGATATATTTTTAAATTTAAATAAGGATGGATACATGTGTGTCTTGATATTATCAAGACCCGTTTGATATATAAAATGAGACAACAACTTAACAAATATATATATTATATTTATTCATTTGGAAAGCTTTTGGTGGTGACAAAGATAGAATAACACTATTTGGAGAGAGTGCCGGTGGAGCAGCGGTCGAATATCTAACTCTATCCAAACGCAGTCGAGGTTTATTCAACCAAGCCATCATTGAGGTAATTGGTATTCTATTTTGTAACATATTTGGAAGAAGAAAAAAATGAAACAAATAATAAAGACTTTAAAATAACATAATCATAACTGTACAAACAAACATCGGACAGCTCTCCCCGTCGGTCGTTCAAAGAAACTCCTGAAGTACCTATATTCTGCTAGGAAATGTGGATTTTTATCAGTATGTATTGGCTCAAATGGTCTTTTGAAGTGGTATATTTTTGCTTGAAAAACCTAAGGGATTTTAACTCGGGCCATTCAAACAACAATGCAGCACTTCAAAAGACCAGTTGAGCCAAGATATACTGATAGAAGTAAATGTTTCGTAGTGGAGTAGTTTGAGCGCTTGACAGGAAATCCAAAGGTCGTGGGTAAGATCCCAGACAAAGCACTAAAGTCATTTGGCAAGACATTAATCTACATTTGCCACTCAATATACCCAGGAGAGAAATGGATACCTGGTAGGATGACGAAATCCTTTTTTTATTTAAAGCAAATGCCATATGCCCTCACGGTGGCCATATGCTAGGAATACTCACCAGGAAGTGGAAATAGTGCACACTGTGTACCTGAAGGAATCCAATGACCGGGGTGATAATAATATTCATAAAGCGCGTAGAGACGGTATTCCGTATTAAGTGCGCTATAAACCCATATTAGTATTGCTATTTTATTAATTGGATTGGATTGTATCGGTAATACATGAAATATAGAAGATGTTATTTATAGTTTGACCTTTCGGGTTCATGCATCTTTGTGTTTGTTTCAAGAATATCCGTTTTGAAATTTATCAGAACAATTACTATTATAATGGATCTCTCTTAGAGTGGATCTACAGTTCCTAACTGGTCCTTTGATCCGAGACCAGCGGAAATGGAAGTCCAAGACGCCAAGAATTTGGGAGAGGCCTTGGGCTGCGACACGTCACCTTCCTCAGCTTTGATCGCCTGTTTGGAAACTAAGACTGCCAATGAGATTATCAACAGTTCATTACTCGTGAGTACACCTTTATTTAAAGACTACTCCTGAAGGTGAACAATTATTCGGGAGCTTCGTCAATCTTTTATGTCAGTTTGGACGAATATGACAGAACAAATGTCCCCCTTGGAAGGATTGCACTTCTAATACCCCCATATTAAAAATGTAACGAGAATGATAAGTCTGGAATACAATTTCGTGCCACATGTGTTTGAAGTCTTAAGTGTCGTGTGATGTTCATGTGATTTCCAGCAAGATTGGATACATTTATTTTCATTGTAATCATTCCATTACCTCAAAGTAATATGTATCAATTCTTATGCGCTGCCTAATCAATATTTCAAGTTCTTCCAGACATTTTCAATTCCAGTGTAATAACACCACAAGTACTCAATTGCATTTATAAACAGACATTTTGATATCAGTTTTGAGAACATACTGCAACTCAGCTTGATGACACAACCTTTTTCTTTTATCCTTTTTGTCTACAGGCGTATTCATTCTGTCCTGTTTCTGTTGACGGTGATTTCCTTGACGATGAGCCAGCCAATCTATATAAAAATAAGGACTTCAAGAGGTGTCCTATACTAACCGGTACCAACAGGGACGAAGGCACTCTCTTCCTCATAGCTGTCTTTCCTACGGATGCTCCCAATCCACCTCGGCCAGAGGTTAACACTTCGGGTCTGGACGTAATAATCAGATCCCTGATGGTGACATACGGTGAGAGTGTTTGAGTATTTTCGGTACCTTCCTCTACTTTCTCCTCCTACTTTCGTTATTCTTCCTATTCTTCCTCTTCTTCTTCTTTTCTTCTTTTTTCTTCTTCATTAATTTTCTTCTTGTACATGTCCCCCCTCCTTCTGCTTCTTCTCCTTGAACATATATAATGGCAAAGGCTCTTGACTCTCCTGTGAGAGGTCCATGTTGTGCTCGGTGCTGAAATCGTATTTGTCCCTCTATCTTCTGTATTCAGGTGTATGAAATGGGTACTTAGCAAATACTGGGATAATGATAATTTTAGGGCCGGACGACACTACATTTGCTGCGGGTTTTATTTCTTTAAAGATATAAGGTTTGAGGTTGCATCTTAGGGTAGGATTATACGGTCAAGGTTAGGAGTATGCCGGAAGAGAAATTGTGCACATTATCATTGATTTGGCTGTCTTTGTAAATAAGACCCAATATTGATTATCATCATCATCATCATCATCATCATCATCATTATCGTCATCACTATTGTTATTTTCATCACTATCATTGTCATATTTAGTACTACAACTTTTGAGAATAACCTAGAGTTTATGATTTTACGTGAGTTGATATTTGGATACATCATTGCATTGATATTCTTTATTTTAAAATCATCTTTCTTCTCTCATAATTACGAAATATAAGGCATCACCGAGGATATCTTGATCGCTGCTATTCGTCAGGAATACACGGATTGGACCATTGCAGATAACTCTTCCGCCAACCAGATGCCGTCCTATATAGAATGTGCTGGAGACCAAGGGTTCTCCTGCCCTTCAGATCAGTTCGCTAGATACCATGCTGGTGTGGGGGACACAGTGTTCAAGTATTTCTTTACGCATGAACCATCAAGGTAGGTAGTGGTTAGTGTTAGCATGACGACTATTATCAAATACTATAACTACAGCTGATCGTCTTAAAGATGTTCAATACTGGAGACCATGTTTTACCAGGCGTGGCAGGCCGTGGCAGACCTATCAAAAATTGAATATTATGAATCAAACAATTCTGAATATCTCGCGTGGTGTTATATTTCTCTGAGGCCGCAGTTCGAAGTTAAACATATTTGATGGCGCGATGAAAATTTTGAGGTGAAATACTTTGATATATTTAAGGGACAATGATGGACATCAGAGGTGACCGACACCCACTTAGAACCATCGGGAGCCAACGAGACTCTATATGCTGATGACGTCAAAACTGTGCTTACACAATAACAAAATGAAAACAAAAGTTAGATAGTGTATCGTAGGATACAAATATTCTGCAACAGAGATCAAGAAAATGGTCTTGTTACGTATTTCATATTGTGTCATCTTATCTCTTTCTGCAAGGTCTGTTTTTGAAGGGTTCCCGGGATGGTTTGGAGCCGGCCACGCAGAGGAGGTTACATTTGTGTTTGGAGCGCCCTTCATTGAACAGCTCTCTGACAGAGATATATACATGCTGACAGACGAAGAGAAGACATTGTCGGTCAAGATGATGAAGTCCTGGACTAACTTTGCCAAATATGGGTAAAGCAGATTTCGTAATGATGAGTCAGTAGCGTAAGGTGAAAGAGTATATTTCGTTAATGTATAGATGAACAAAGTTCGTGAGCCTTCTCATTTATGTGTAAGCTTGGAAGAATATCATAGAAGTATTCCCTGTAGAAAGTTGCTCTTTAAGTGGCTGTCTCATATTAAAAATATGACAACATATTACTAGGCAGTTAGGACCAAATGTTAATGCTACATCTGTGTCTGGTTAAGTATACACATGTTCGTTTGCTGACAATCTCACAATAAGGTAACGAACTCACATAGGCCTTATATAACTTCAAGTGTACAATATTATATTGACCCAATGACTTGTGATGAAATTAATTATAGTATTAGACATGCGGGGCCCTAATCTGAATAATTATGTGTCTCTTCATTTGTCATCTTATTTTGTTAAGATAAAGAAGAGACAAATTTCATATATATATATATATTAACATGTGAAATGCGGTACCATTCTTTTTAGGGATCCGACGTCTGGCGCTAACCCGAATGAAGGGTTGGGCAGCTGGCCATCTTTCACGGTTCCTGAGCTCTCTTACAAGGAGATATCTCTAGATATCGCTAATAATGGAGTAGGGAGGGCACTGAAGGCCAGGCAATGCCACTTTTGGAATGACTATTTCCCGAAGCTCCAGAAATTCATCGGTACGTATAATCACGTTCATTTCCACTCATAATCAATTCTCGCATATCTTTTTTACATATTTTTTTAGAATTTCCTGCATGAATTATCAATGACATATTTTTTTCCATTTTCATGCATTAATGTATTGATGATTCCTAACAGATGAAAACATCTTTTTTTTTTTCTTTTTTTTAAAACTCACCTATGCATATATAGAAAGCGTTCTCTTCTACAAACTTAAAACTGTTTTGACGGACTTTAATTTGATGCAAGTTCTTCTTCTGATATCTTCATTGTATCGGAAACGTTCCCATTCTGAACTAAGATTGCAACACAATCGAAGAAATAGTCCTTTTTTTAGAACATGGGGTCCTCATCTCCCTTTACCAACCTGTATTGCTAGATATGTTATTGGCACGGGGGTGAGGGAGAATGCTCCCCAGCTTTCCCCCAAACAACAACAATAGCCCCGTAACTGATGAGAAAGTGCCCCTCTTGCGATGGAAATGTCCACCTGAGGTTATATGCTCCCCTTGGTTACTTTATAAATCAAACAGAATTAAAACATGTACGCTTTTATACAAATATACACCATCCTTTTTGTGCAGTGTATAATATTTAGTTTACAATTCAATTGGCTTTTCATTTTTTCCAGCTTCCCAATCGATGGACGATTTGTCGGACTGGCAAAACGAGTTCAAGAACTGGCAAAGTCAAATGACTAACTGGCAACAAGCTTATGATGAATACAAGGAAGCTCCAAAATGCAACTAATCTTACTTCTGGTGTTCTGCCTGATTCTTGAATGCAGGCTAACTCGGCACTAAGGACAGTCTTTTTTAAATATTGAATGATTTATTCTCGAATGCTTCCAATTTATTTCATGTTTGATAAACAAACAAATCTTTTGTAACGTGAACGTAATAAACACAATTCTGAAAAAGTCCACTCTTCTGAGTTTTAGGACTTATACATGTACAAAAGTTACAATATATTTCCATAACATGATATCATTTCGTGATAGACAGATATCCAAATAATCAAACATAATTCTTGCAGAAATGAAGCAGTGTGTATTCATATAATTATAAATGCCTATCCTACTTCGTAAACCCTCTCCCATCCTCCATTTCTTCTTGAAATCTAATGATTTATATCACAGTCACACCAACGAGACCGACACGAGACCGGCAACAAACCGACCATCAAATTACATTACTCTCAATGGCAAAGAAGCAGTCCGTGTTGAGTCGGTATATATATGATTTGACTGACGTATTAGAGAAAAACATATTTTCGCTTTGAGTCCGTCTTTCAAAAGCCATCGATATCAAGGTTTTTTGATAGGAAAGTGTAGATAAGTAGCTGTTGAGATAATGCTAGAATGTTCAAGAGGAGATATTTATTAAAACATTTAGGGCTCAGCAAAGGTCCGGTGTATAGTTTGCTCTTCAACTCTTGAAATCTTTTACAAAAGTTAAATAGGATTTGTTGATCTCGGTACTTTTAATCATGATTACTTGTAAATAGTCATTACAACGAAATGAAGACTCATTATATTATTTTCTTTCTTAAAAAGGTTTGTATAGTTACATTTTATCAAACTAAAACCGTATAAAAAAATAGTATGTCGCGCTTCATGGTGTAGTTAACAATTGTCGGTAGCTAATTTGTTAATTGTGTAGGTCGTACTAATTTAGTTGTAAAATAGGGGGAGGGGGTAGATGTCAAAATATATAACACGACATTGTAGGAGTATATTGTACTGCCAAGAATAGCATTATTGTTAAAAAAGAAGAATGATTGAAATAAAGTATTGATCGAGATAGCAATGTGGCTTTGTCTTTATCTTCATTGTGTCTTAAGAATTAGGAGGTCATCTTCTTTTTCTTCTTGAAGTTTTTGTAGGATTTGTGTGTAATGTAAGGTCTTACTGATGTGGTATAACTAGAACAGTCCCAATTTTTAGCGAATAGAAGTTTTTAAAAAATAAAACAAATGAGAGGGGTACACATACATGTATATACAGAAACAAGATGACGCGAGATAACCTGGCATAGTTCATACAAAATACAAAAGACTTCTTCTCACCTTCAAATGCGTCCAAGTTCTGGCTCGTCACTACCTACCTCAACTCATAACTATCAGGCAAACATCCAGCTATTCCCTTCGCTCCTTTCAAAGCATCACGCTGAACCGTCCATATCAGCAAGATTCTTCCCACACTTGTTGACAGACCTTACACAACTTCTGTTCCCAAACTGTGGAACAACCTACCCATACAGCGATCTGTCAATACCTTAACAATATCTTAAAACTCACTTCTTCTGTTAAGAATATAACTTTAAAGCGCGTTTGAACATGTGTATGGAAAATGTGTTATATAAATACTTTATCAGAAGTAGTAGTAGTAGTAGTAGCAGTAGTAGCCCGGAACAACAAATTTACGCTCCTCCCCTGCTCAATTGTATATCTGCTCAAAACTACAAACCAGTTCCTATTTATTTATTTATTTTTTGTCACTGAAGTGAACCTAATTTCCGATGCACTTAACATCGAATTGTAGCCATGTACATGTTAAGTTTGATAAATTACTGCTCAAGCCGAGGTGCTAAGCGCTGTTCATGAGGGGACAATATTTGTGATTGGCACAGTTAATGCAAAAGCTTTTTTTTTCACGTAACAATTTTTAGTCTACTTTTGATTTAGTGCAGTAATTGTCATTTTCCGCCGACAACACATGTGAAAAGGTTCGAAACCTGCAATCACCAACACAATTTATATCAATAAGAGGGTCTCACAAAAGAACTCAGTACCGCGATACTGACTTCCTTGAATTAAAACTGAGCAAGCGTGCTTTATCGTTGCATTTGTAATAATGCATTTGTAATAACTTTTTGTGCCGTCCCTCGGTTATTTGAATAACATTGATTATGTATCAGACTTCAATGAATAATAATAAAAAGTCATTGCTGGTATGTTAGCAGTCAGAATGCAATAATTGCACATTATTATTGCGATTTTTGCCTGAGCATTCCGCAATGAAAGACAATAAGACGAGAAAGAGAGAGAGAGAGAGAGAGAGAGAGAGAGAGAGAGAGAGAAAAAAGAGAAAAAGAAGGGGGACTATGGGAATAAAAGGGAGACAATAAAATGGACACATATAAAAAGGGAACATGTAGAGAGAGATAAAGACGAAAGAGAGAGAGAGAGAAAAAGAGAGAGAAAGAGAGAGAGAGAGAGAGAGAAAGAGAGAGAGAGAGAGGGGGGGCTCTGGTAACTGTGTGAGTTATCGTTGAATTTGTACAAGTTATGCCTGAACGATTTCATACAGTATGCACCATATTGCAATAAAGCAGGCGCGGATCCAGGATTTTCCAATAGAGGGGGGGGGGGGCGGATTTTTTTTCAACTCAACATACCAATACTGACAAGGTCATATTAGAAGCACCACACCAGTACCTACAAGCAGGCAGCGTCGCTAGACCTTTTTCAGTGGGGGGGGTGGTGTAGAGGCCACCGATTACCATGAATTCCGTTGGACCCTTCCGCGCGAAGCGCGGAAGCTTTTATAATTCCTTAAATTATTAGAGATAGAAGACGATTCGTTGTACCGTTCTTGGCTCTTAATCCTTGTCTGAATTCAGTCCCCCCCCCCCCCCCCCCACCCGCGCGGAGCGCGGAAACTGTGACGTTTTATTAAATCATCGGAGAAAGAAGGCGATGCGTTGTACTGTTCTCGACTCTTAATCCATGTCTGAATTCAGGTCTCCCTCCCCCCCCCCTCATGCGCGAAGCGCGTAAGCTTTGACGTTTCATCACATAATTACTCTTAATCCTTGTCTGAATTCAGTTTTCCCCTCCCGCGCAAAGCGCGGAAGCTTTGATGTTTCATTAAATAGAAGAAGACGATTCGTTGTAACGTTCTCGACTTGTCAGAATTTTCTAAAATGTTTCTTTGTCTGCTCCTTTTTCTTCCTATGTCCTCTTACTGCCCCTACTGCCCCTGGCTACGCGCCTGCTTTAAAGGGAAAATAAAACAATCATGATTGTGATAGCATACAATTAGGTTAGTAGAAATTAAAATTAAAAAAAGAGATCTATTACACCAACCTTGGATAAATCACGACCGGGAGCGTCATATCATAGTTTTGTGTGATTGGGCGAGGCGGCGTAGCGACCGAGCGAGATTTTGCAATGTTGAATGCTGAAATTATGCATTCTAGAAAATTCCATAAGCCCAATATGTACGTTCTTTCCGCTATATTTCTTTCTAGCTATATTTTTAAATTTCCTGGGGGATGTGTCCCCTATCGGACTCAGGATCGCCGCGCCTGTCCATGATTACTATCAACATGAGTTCAAATACAAGCACAAGCGAGTTGGTATAAGCTGAAGCCAAATGGAGGGCAAAATAAGAGTTGTGAAGCGGCCCCTTTACCGTTAATTTAAAATTTGACTGTTCAGTATAATTATAGCTTCTAATTAAAAGACATCCAAAATGTTGTGCCCTTTTAAAATTTCTCGCTAAAGAGTGATGATATTTGTAGCGCAAGGGATGTTTTAAACGTTTGACTTTGAATATGCGGCTCGAGATTTTATGCCGCCGGCTTCCTCTATTCAATAACGTTTCCCAAGCCCTCTGAAATGACCCCAAATCTCCCGATTACAGTTTTCCCCCTTATTTGTCGTTATTGTCACTTAGCGCCATTTCCTTGTCTTCACCCTTTCTCACCCGACTATTCTCTCCCCCCCCCCCCACCCACTCAGTGTTATCTAGGGTACGCGCAGGGGCGAATCTAGGTGGGTTCGGCGGTTTAACCCCCCCCCCCCCCCTGGACGGCCAAGTGGGGAAAAAAGGGAAAAAAGAAGGGAAAAAAGAAGAAAAAATAGGGGAAAAGGGGAAAAAAGAAGAAAAAAGTAAAACAGTAAAACGGCGCGATTTTTGGAAAATTCTGGGTCCGCCACTGGGTCAACCCCCCCCCCCTGCCCTTGGCAAAAATCTAGATCCGCCCCTGACGCGCATACATGTTCCCTCTCTTTGAAAGAACCCCTTTATCTCCGGTGTGTAAAGTCAATACGGCCTGTACGGGCCGTATTTTTGTGTATTACGGGCCGGACTTCATTGCGTGAAAATACCCCTTTAGCAGAGATTTTGGGAACACAAATTCGGTCTCTCGACCCCGGAGTGGGAGGGAGGAGGGGGGGGGGTGGGATTTCTTCTTTTTCTTTTCTCCTTTTTCTCTTTGTTTCTTTTCTCTTCTCTTTTCTTTTCTCTTCTCTTCTCCTTTTTTTCTCTTCTCCTTTCTTTTTTTCTCTTCTTTTCTTTCTCTTTTTTACCTTCCCTTTTCTTGCGCCGCCAATAGGGGGGGGGGCCGCGGCCGTTTCGGCCCCCCTGGATCCGCCACTGAATAAAGGTCACGCTTTTATACAAAAACATTTCCGCTTAACATGTTTATAAATGACCGCAGAGTTATACAGCATTGTTGGGGTCACTCAAATAATAACGAATTGTATAAGCCCTTTGCAAACCATCGGTAGTGGATATATCCCGTGTTATAAGTAACTTTGTCAGTGGAGCTAGTAATTCGAAGTCAACAACATGAAGATGCAAATGTCTAAACTGTTTGAGGTGTTCATCGTTCTTGCGTCCTTTTCTAGTACGACGGCGCAGAATCCGAAAAGGACTGTCTTCCAAGGAACAATCGTCGGAAAAACGGTGCAATTCGATGAGAATGAGTTCATAAACATCACGAAATATGTCGACGCTTTTCAGGTAAGACAAGTAAAACTCAATATACACCTGTGCAAAGTCGTCAAGTCTTCGAAATGTAGTGTAATTAGGGGTACCGTACTTTTAACCTGTCATCTTATAGATGAAGGTTTACAAACTGAAGCAATGTGAAAGGTCTATTCTGACAAATTTGATATTTCTAACACCAAGACGCATTTTGGGATTGGATTACATATATGAATCGACCAGAAACAGGCAACTAGACATGAATTACAATTACACTATAGGCCATGGAACAGCCCATGAAAGCGTTTTGTATCAGTTTGGGTTGTCCGACTTCCATAGCGTATCCAAATTGTTGTACGAACGCACTAGGTGACATGACTAATTATTTAGAGTGAGTATGTTTCGACTCATATTTGTAGAAGTTTCTGTTTATGTTATTCACAATAATGTTTCTTGCAGCGTATTCGTTTTTGGTCATATAATTCTACTTGATAATTATTTGTGTATATGACATAATGGTCTCTTCAAATCCACAGCAACATTCGACATTACGTACCCCAAACCCCAAGTAAAAATGCATTAAACCACGTATGGCTGGACATGTCCCATTAAATCAACATACAGAATCGTTAAATCAAATCGTATAATCTTATATTGCAGTTATCTCGTAATTCCAGATAAGATATAAAGACCTTGTAAGCTTTCAATAGCAAACTTGCAAGTGACTTTGAAAACAAGGATTCGTGCTTACTGTAGTTTTCTATTTTGAAAGGACATTTTGTCAGAGGGCCAGTTTACAGTGTCACTTTACACGGGTGTGTGACAGAAAAATGATCAGTAATGACTTCGGCAGCTGATTTTTATTATTATTATCATTTTATTTGGCAAATCAAGTCACATAATACAACAATATAACAAACATGAATTGAGATTAAAAAATCAATAGAAAGCATATATAAATATTGCAATAGCAGGTGCATCCGGTCGAGCTGCCCAATAACTGTGATCCGCAGACCTTCCTCCCCACACCCGACTAGATGCACCTGATATTGGTTAAAATAAAGCTTTAAAAAGAAAAGATAGATTAGGAGAAGGAAAATGGAGAAAAAAGGGAGGAAAAAGAAGGAAAAAAGAAAAAGAAGAAAAGAAAAGAAGAAGAAAAAAAAATCAATAAACATTGCATTACAATTTTTTTTTAAATTCTGATTTCATGACAGGTATAGTAACATATTGTTGCTGTTAATCATTAACACCATCGTCACATTGTAAAAAAAAAAAAAAAAAAAAATATATATAATTATCATTATCATTATGAACATTATTACTACCACCGTTACTATCATGATTATTATAATTTATATCATTGACATCAATATTTATATTAAAACATCAACACAAATTAATTTTCATTGAGAACACAATTTCAACACCAACAACCAGTCTCATAGCTATTGCACGATCATAATATGTACAGATGAAGGTAAGCCCTATATCATGTTTATGAAAATATTAAAATTCAGTAATACAATTTTGGAATGGTTTGAAATGGTTAAAATGGACTGTGTATGATTTCAAGTACATATAATTATTGTTTCATATTATATAATGAGAAATGGAACAGAAATTTTACAGTATACATCTCATGCGATCATTATGTGAAGTCTTATTTATAGAATTGAAGAATTATGTATATTCTATTCTATCATATTGGAAGGATATGCGATCCTACAATATTCATTGATCATTGTCGCGGTAGAAATCGAGTCTAAAGTTATAAAATTGTAAATAATAAACTCTTTATGTCGTATAGCTCCCTCTCAAGGTCAATTAAGCTATTAAACAATGTTTCTTGACTAAAATCGACCAATGAGCTATTCCCGTTTGGAAATTACATATCACAACTACATATTCTGAGATTTTCATGGTCGCAGCCACCATTGTACGGCCCTAGGCGCTATTTGAAATTTATCAAAATTTACCGGGAGCACCGGTAAATTTTTATATTTTATTTTTCTCGAAAGCAGAAGGGTTTTAGGGGCTAAATTTTCTAGTGCTTATAATACATCCACAGGGGCATCCAAATATATCAAATTGTAAAAAATCACTATCTACCCAATTTTCAAAATTTCCCAAAACTTTGTATTACCTTTAATAGTGCTGGTAGTAATAACTCACAATGAAAATGTGGTAATTCATATCTCATTAAATAAAAACTGTTATCATTCGAATATAAAATTCATACCGCTGATCAACACAAGGTTTTATCTGAATGCACTAAATAAGTCATTTGAATTAAAAGAAGAAATTATGAATGCAGACATTAATTCGGGTTTTATTAACACGATCCCTTTTTTCTATGATGCATGTTGGTACTCCTAAGACTAATGTCAAGTTTACAATGGATAACATTTATAAGCGGGGAACAATCCAGATTAAGTTTATGAATATAAAGTGGTTTATAATCATAATGTGTTTTTGTTCTTGCTCGAAAATATAGCTATTTGAATGCTTTCGTAATCTTCTCTAAGATAAACACAATACATGTAAAAGTAATATGTGCGTTTAAGTTTTAACAGACGAGTATTAATCAGATATGATTTGTTTACGTCTTGGGACCGACACTTTACGTCACCATCCGAAAGACGTGACTTAGTTTCGAACCTAGGTCCGATCAAAATCAGTTTGTAGGTGAAGACAGCATTATGCCTAGATAACAATTGCTCTAAGGCTAGGATACGGCGGCCTTACGCCCCCGAAATCGAGAGATTCTGCGTTGGCCTCAGGGTCACCCTAGGGCGTATCCCTATCTTTACAGGCCGTACGGGTCGCCGTGGGATTATAACGCAGAGTTATAACTGTTTTCATTTCCAGGTTCGCCGTAGCGATTGGACACACCGTAGCCTTGCCGTAGAGCGGTTCCACAGCAACCGTACGTCGGGCGTACGGTAGTCTCGCGTTTTATATTGCAGGGGTGAAGCGGTAGCATCAGTCTGGCCGCACGGTCACCGTATGGTTGCCCTTCGGTCGCCCCAGATATTTTTGGCCGCACGGCCGCCCGGGCAAATGTGACCTAGGCATAACAACCAATCATTCTACGTGTTTTGTATGTTTGTGATGTGCAGGGTATACCATATGCCGATCCACCAGAACGGTTTCTGCCCTCTACTCCCAAATCTCCTTGGTCTGGTGATTTGAACGCGACATCCTTCAAGCCAGCATGCGCTCAGGCGCCATCTTTCTACTTCCCTGAGCAGGACGAAGATTGTCTGTACCTCAACGTGTATGCTCCGAACCCAAAGGTAGACATTTCTATTAAGCCCATTGTATAGTTATATACAAAATGAGTCGTTTTGAATGCTGAAAGGTTAAACAAATCAAATATAAGTCCTGATTTGATATTTAGAATGAAACCGTAGTTTGTAGGATCGATGAATAGCGATGCTCACGGCAATACAAATGTTCGATCACATTTAAGTGAACATATAAACCCACCCACTACTCCGGTTTCATTTTCTTATTTTGTGGTGCACTCTCCATATTTTCTCAACTTGTTGTTATACCCCCCCCCCCCCTGGATAAATTCTGTACTCCATGATCATTTTGAATATTTGATTACTGAAGGGCTATGTTAATGTATAACATTATTTTTTCTATATGGTTTTACAAAGAAGTCTTATCTTTTGCCATTCCGTTTGCTCATCTTTAAAAAAGAGACTACCCATACCTATATGTACATGTAACTCGTTTATGATTACGCCTATATAGCCTAGTGGAGCGGCAGTTATGGTCTACATTCACGGTGGATCGTTCTCCTCGGGATCCGCCATGGTCTACGATTTTTACGGTGTCCCATTGGTTGCCGTTGGTGACGTCATCGTAGTCGTCCTGAACTACCGTCTCGGAGTATTCGCGAAGTTCACCACAAGTAAGAGCTCAGTGACACCGCCAAACCGACACCAATCCCACCCCACACCACACCCTCCCACACAACACACACACACAGACCAAATAATTATCCTAAACGACAAAGAATCGATCGGTTTGGAAATAACTTTGGCATTTGGCGTGGTTTGCCGGTTTGCCTGGTGCCCGTGACGGAGGTGTAACTGGAGTAAAAGATTTCCATAAAACAGAGATGGATTAAATTAGTATGGCTCAATTCAAATTATTCCGCGTGTCATTGAGAAATGTAATCGTGACTAACGAACCGTATATGTTAAGAAATATGAAATATAATCATGTTTGTGCACAAAGAGCAAATAAAATATATTTTAGAAAGGACTATTCGTTTCTTGTTCGAGTGCAGACTTTCAAATCAAGGATAGTTGTAAACTCAGCAAGTTACACAAAATTAAACCGTAAACAATTTTGAAAGGCATATCGACAAATAATCAATATTGTTAATGCGTCTGATTGGGAACTCTTGAAACACCTAAAACATTATTTTGTATAAGAGTTATTCGTAATTAGAGACAATTTTAAGAATGTATCTGAAACATTCCTTTGTAGTTTCCAATCAATGTATAATCTATTCATCTATTTCCTTCTTTTACAGAAAGTGATGCTGCTCCTGGCAACATAGGGATGTTAGATCAAGTTGCTGCTTTACAATGGGTTAAATCTAATATTGAAGGTATAACAACTTAGTGCATTCTAAGTTCAAGCACTAAAAATACTACATAATCAAATATTTAGACCATTTTTGATCAACTTGACCAAATATGTGACCAGAATTTAATATATTCCTTATGACTCATTCAGCAATTGCAATAAATCTCCTGCCTTACTCCCAGAAAGAAAATACTAAATTGCATTCAACAAATAAAGTTACATTAAACAGAGTGAGAAAAAAATGCATTATATCTCTACATGGAATTTAAAATGTTGTATGAAATAGTTATGTACTATATCATAATAAAAAGTGTACAGTGCATTGAAGTTTGAATGCCAGAGCAATTTTGTTTTGTAAGCAAAGTCCAATTATTGATTAAAATCATCGTGAAAAGGTTGTAGTAAAAGCATTTTAAAACCAAACCAAACAAATATGACGTTATTGAACTTCATGTGCGAATCCGATATAAGTCGTATCTTTTGAGTTATATTCATTACTAAAGTGTTAATTAAGGCAAATATGTTGGGGCCATATATCGTGTGTTAGTCAATCCGTGTGTGCTTTTATATTATCTTATAATATTTCAATCTTTGAACATTTTAATAACACAGAAGGCAGTACGATTATTATGTTCATATTGATTTTGCTCTTTAATAGCATTTGGCGGTGATCCAAACAGAATAACGATATTTGGAGAGAGCTCGGGTGCAGCTAGTGTTAATTTTCACCTGCTTTCAAAACTTAGCCATGGACTTTTTCAGCAAGCCATCATGCAGGTAAATGTCAATACATAATGTATTAAAATATTTATTTAGAAGGAATTGTTATAAATAATTAAGAGATACTAAACGTCTACCTTCCATCTTAATTCCTACATTACTACTTTAAGCAGTTGCAAATCCAGGCATCTCAAGGTAAAAAGGTGTTCCTTGATGCCTTACATTGCATTTTTAATCAATAAACAAATTATTTGGAAACTAAAAATCATGAGTGCATTATATTGTTCTTAAGTAGATACAGAAATGAATACACAATTGCAGCACGTTATTTACTTATTTCATTTGAAATTTAGAATAGGATTTCATACTTTATAATAAGACCTGTATATGTGTCTATATCCGTTATTCTAATAATTGTCTTCTTTGTAGAGTGGAGTAGCATCCTCTACATGGGCTTTTGAAGATAATCCCGGGAAAGAGGTAGAGAACGCTCATAAGTTAGGACAGGCATTTAGCTGTGACTTGACACCGCTGTCCGATCTAGTAGCGTGCTTGCAGGCAGTGGACCCTAACGAACTATGGACGGTGGCCAATCAGGTAATGCATTAAAGTCTGAAAGGATGGTGATGATGATGACTATGGTGATAACAACGGCCCCCCTCCCAGGGTAAGGGAAATTTAGATTTAGGTACATTTTTTAACTCCGTGTGTGTATGTGTATTTGAGCTTTTACAGACGTGTATCAATCAGATATGATTATTTCCGTCTGGGGACCGACCTTTAACTTCACCATCCGAAAGACGTGACTCAGTTTCGAGTCTGCGTCCTCGGCTGAATCAGTTTGTAACTCCCATTGTTAGCTGGATTACAGTCGCACGCCAAAACGCTCAAAATCAGATATATTTTTGTAATCATTATCAAGCGGACCTCATGTCGCTGTGCACCCCACACTCCCTTAATTACGGGACTGTGATGATTATAGTGATGATAATGATGGTTATCACCAGGCTGATGACGGTGATGAGGATAATTATGATCATGCTGATGACGGTTTTAATAATAATAATGATGTTGCAGGAAGCAAGAAAATACCTTTGAAACGTACGCTGCAAAAAATGGTTGTTATCATGATGTACTGTTATATCATGTTTGTTATAGAACGATGCACTTATAAGTAACACTTCTACATGTCCTATGGCAAACTAAAGATTAAGTTTCAACACATTTATTATGTTGCCTTTTTGTGGATTTGAATTACATACAGGTATACGATGGGTCCTACCATATTTACGTCGATGGTATGTTCTTGGAAGACACACCACAGAATCTCTACGCCAAAGGAGAGTTCACGCGAGCACCAATTCTGGCCGGAGTCACACAGGATGAGGGTACATATGACATCTGGGTGAAGTTCTTCTGGCCATACGCTTACTCTGAGACACCACCCCCATTCAACCAATCCCAACTTGAGGACTACCTCAGGAGTGGACTGAGGAATGAAAATGTTCTTTCTTCGGATAGTGCGGATATCCTGTTGGATGCTGTACTACATGAATACATCGACTGGACGATTGCCGATGATCCTGACGCTGACTTCTTCCAGCCTGCAGTGGATGCAATTGGGGATGTCTCCATAAAGTGCCCTATGGATTCGATCCTGAGGGCCCACGTATCTGCCGGCGATCCCGTCTATAAATACGTGTTCAAGTACCCAGTTACAACAATGTAGGTACACGTCACTTATACTTTCAGAGCACAATGGAAATTTCAACATACGGGTTTACCTGTAGTGTTTTACGATTGTGAAGTTGAGTGATGGGTATGGAATCTCCACGTTATTCTATATTGCTGATTATGTATTTAATGCAATTTGGGAATCATCTAATTTAAAAGGAGTAAATACATTATGTTCAAATTGCCAACTATAACAAAATACGACATTGTTTTATTGTAAGAAAAATTAACTTGCATTCCAAAACTTTGTAAACGTAGTTCTCCATTCCTTATTTATACTTAAAACAACACTGCTGATTACTTCTAAACTGTTATTCGTCCAGGAGAAAGAAGTTTTATATCTTGCCATCAAGCTGTTATACAATGTACCTTGTGACATTTGACAGACTTTTGATATCATCTAAAATAGAGACAGCCTTTTATGGTGTTTTCTTATTCCTTTGACCCTAGGAGCTACTTCCATGTGGTTGGTGTTCTTCCTCTCACCCCATGGCTAGGTGCAGGGCATGCAGAGGATCTTTTATACGTGTGGGGAGTGCCATTCATCGACCAACTTGACAACGTCCATGGCCAAAACGTGACAGATGAAGAGAAAACCCTTGCAGTCGACATGATGCAATTTTGGACTAACTTTGCAAAGACTGGGTAAATGATTATGAATTATGAAGACAACGGCATTTTCCCACTTTAGCCTTCTGTCAATGAAGTTCAGTATATAACAGTGCAGTGTTTTAACGGTCATTTTTGTACTATTAAAATTTGGTTTTAGTATATTAGATCCAACAACAACATATTTTAACGCCTGTAAATTTTTTATTTAGGCATAACGATGTGTATATACATCCATGTCTGACAAATAATATGTACTTAAATCTTGTGATCATTAGAATAAATGTCCCGACTAGGCTAACAACTATCATCACAATTTTCCTTGCGAAATTTTTGCTCACAACTACAGCTTGACGAAGTTTTTTCACAATGAAAATAATATTGATTGTATAATCAGGGACTTTGTACTAATCAATTATACGAACCAGATAAAACTCTTCATTTTTTTAAACTATCGTTGCTTACTTAGAGACCCGAGCAAGTCGGATGCCGGTCCAGCACCTGGTGAAGGGGACTACGCATGGCCCAAGTTTACATTCCCAGATTTACGTCATAAGATCTTGGATGTTCAGTTGGGAGAGGGAAGGTCTGACAGGTCGGGAGAATGCCACTTCTGGAACCACTATTTTCCGCAACTGAAGTTTTCGACTCGTAAGTTATACGTTGCACGTTGGATAATGCCATTATCTCATACTTGCATCTGTGCACACTTCCATAAAATGTTTGAAAACCACAGCGCGGTCCCTCTAAAACCACTGCCTTTATCAAGTGAAGAGGAAAATGTTAAAGATGTTTGGAGAGATGAACATAATTATATGGAGAATAATCAAATATATCGCCAAAAAATATGAAATGTTCGTACAACATATCACACGAAATGATAAAAATGATACAATGGATATCAGACGTGACTTGAACGGGCCATAAAGAACAAAGAGTTTGGGCATAACATTAGCACAAAGTAGATCTAAGACCATCTGGACGAATGGGGGGGGGGGGGAAGCATAATTATGAATAGTAAACAAATATACACTGCCTCGAGAGGTTCTGGTTAAAACTATGCGCAAGAGGTGACTCCAATAGTACTATTTGCTGAGGGGCGCAGCCCCGAAGCAAATGGTACTTTTGGAGTCACCGAGGCCCATAGTTTAACCAGTACCTCGAATAGAAGGCATGGTATATTTTGTTTTATATCCTGCATCAAAAATTAATTTAAAAAAAAAAAAAATTAAATAAAAACATTTTGGGGAGAAAAAAAATTTAGGACAAAAAAAATTTAAATTTATATCTAAAAAGATTTAAAATATTTTGTTTTCATTAAATTAAGATTAATTTTTTTTCCCTTTTTTCCAACTCCCAAATAGTAAACCAATAGTACTCTCATATAGTACTTTCTAAAAATAGGTCAAATATTTCTGGTCATGTGACGATCTGTCAACCAATCATAAGCCAACAAATTTTTGATGCAGGATATAATATTGGATATAGAAGTAGAGGTGTCGTGGCCGAGTGGGTACGTCGCCGGACTGTCGATCACAAGGTCCGCGGCTCGAGTCCCGCCGCGGCACTAATGTCCTTTGGCAAGACATTGATCTACATTTGCCACTCACTCAACCCAGAGTACCTGGCAGGAATTAATTCCTTGAAATACTGGAGCGCTGTAATGGCAGCTAGGCTAAGGCCGGGGCAATAGTAAATGCGCCTCGGAATAGAATTTCTAGATAGACGGCGCTATAGAAATCCCTATTATTATTATTATTATTTATACGTTTATTATTGTATGTAAATATACTTTTTAACATCAATTCCTCCAGAATCACTTGAGGACTCCCAAAGACAATGGCGAGCTGGATATTCAAGCTGGATGGCGGACATACAAGAATGGAGGACAAGTTTTGCTTCTTATAAAAATGGCTGTTCATAGGCATTATGCACAATGTTATTGCACCAATGACAGTGTATGAACAACAACCCCTTTCTATTTTATCTGTCGTTTGGAGCTTACGGTTTTTAATAGAATATTGATATTTCTTCATCATTATGAATTAGGTTTTATAATATTAAATTTTAGTTGAATATTGCTCGATCATTGCCTCAGCTACAATTAATTTGGATTTAGAGGATTGGCAACTCGTTTAGATCACTTAGTGTATTGCATTTTGTAAAAAAATCAATCAGAAAATGGTTATAGGTGTGCGTACTTCAGGATGTTCCTGTTCCTAAACCCAAGTTTACGGGTGAATAACTCGATTGTTTCTAATCATTCTTTGATTAGTGTAAATATGATTGGAGAACTGATCGTCTCTTCTTTCATATGAAACCAAAAGCATGATAAAGAAAACGTGCATGACCTATTTCAGAGAGTTTGAAATGGCAGTGTCGGAAACCCAATTATCCAAAATGAGTGGATGGCTATTAAGTTTGGGCCTTAATGATTTTGAAAAGACAGGAAATGACGTGGAACTAATAATTGTAAAACATCATCGAAAGCTCCTATTCTCATATTTCATATGAGACCATAATTATCATGGAAGGATCACGCGTGGGTGAGCAGGTAACATAAGCTACAATAGGTAAAACAAATGGTATGTTGATGTCCAGGGGGTAGGTGTCCTAGAACCCTCCACCACACCAACGCAATACGACCTCCCCCTACTTACTCGCTGCCAGCCGAAGATGGCATGGTCCTTAAATTAGGACGCCCACCTGTCTTAGGCTGGGTCATAGGGCTGGTGGCGTCTAAGTTCGTTGAAAACGCCATCTTCGACGGCTTGAATCAAGTGAAGGGAATATAAGGAGCCGGCGGGCCTGATTCTGGACTAGTGTCGTATGAAAGAAGAGAACAAATAGAAAATGTACACGCTTTCGAATAAATAACGTGGAATTATTGAGTAATTAACAAATTAGTTTACTTTTGTTTCTCTTTTATGGGGACATACTGTATTTAATGGAGTAAATGTAGTTCTTAGTCCTTTTTAATACCTGGGTTTTTTCTGCTGATTCTCTCATCACCATTTTCGAAATCTTTACAAAATTAAATATCTTTAAATTATAAATTAGTTCCCTTTGATTAAAGCTCTATGTATTAACTTTTAGAATAGTGATGATTATACTTACTTGAATAATATTAGACCTATATCTTATGAATTTCATGTTTGTGTGTATTCTCGTAAGCTTCATAAAAATAATGTTTGTAATATGCCATGTATTTCATGTGCTTCTATTGTAAACTGAATGTTATTCAGCTCTCGGGCTGCTATTTTGAGTATTTTCAATAAGCCATTTAATGAATAAAAAATGTAGATTGATTAGAAAAACAGAGAGAAACAAATATTCCATATAAAGGGAAAATGTTGTCTCTGCATAATTTCTGTTTTAATGGGTTTTCAGGGTTGATAATATTTTCTATTTTCATACTTATAATAAAGATAATAGGACCCAGAATCGAGTGTGTCTTTTTCATTAAATGTTTAATGGGCGTTTGCAGAATGTTGTAATGAGTTGGCTGGAGCATAATGTGTTGGGTCCAAGTAGAGCGAAGCGAGCAGAACGTCTACGGCTTGGAGTCCAGGGTGTGCTTTACAGGGACTTAACTATGGCAGGCTGTTCGTGTCACTAGTTCCTCTAACCATTTCTGGCATTGGTTTCTCAAGGGACGCACAAATCATGGTCACAAATCTACAAAATTTACATTTTTGATGGCCAAATATGGAAAAAATATTATCTAAAGATCATAATTGAGAGACCAATGGTGAGAGCCACCAGTGGCATGAATGGCCTGTTATAGTTAAGTCCAACTGAAAGTCGATCTTAGTATTAGTGAAACAGTCCCAAGGGGTTTATAGCCCACACAAGATTCCATAACTGTTTTTGTTTATAATTCGTCGCTGTTTTCACGAAGTGACGGTAGTGAAAAAAAATTGCATTCACTTTGCGTTACGATTTTCCTCACTACCGTCACTTCGTGAAAACAAGGACGAATTGTATACAGTTACTCTGTTGTCGTCGTCCTAAGAGTCATGTCTGACACTTTGTGACCCTATATTGACGATGACGTTCCACCCATCGGGCATAACAACGAGATGTGCAGATGTTCATGCCAGTTATCACTTTTATTCCGTCTGCCCACCGAACTTTTGGCCTACCACGTTGGCATTGACCCCCCCAACATGACTTTGGGTTACTCCGTAACTGTATGAAAACAAAATATTTAAAGAATATTACTTCGAAAACTTGTCACTTGGTGCCAATACCATGTGTACACTCACCCCTGCCTTGAGAGAGAGAGAGAGAGAGAGAGAGAGAGAGAGAGAGAGAGAGAGAGAGAGAAACAGAGACAGACAGAGAGAGACAGAGAGAGAGAGAGACAGAGACAAAGAATAGAGAGAGAGACAGAGAACTGTGTATAGATGGCTCTGTTAGGGTGTAGTCCGTGAAAGACCAGAGCAGAGAGGAGGCGGTGCAAACAATAAAATCACAGCACACATTGGATATATGTAGATGACTTCTCACCTACATTTTATCGCGTGTGCATCTTGTTTTTAGGGAATAAAAGTAAAAACCGAACTACATCGTTCCAGTATCTTACACCGAAAGCTTTAGCGTGACATTACAGCATTTCAGTATAATGGCGTCTTTGCGAAACATTGAAAGTGTTGTACTCTTGGTGGTCATCTTTGAGGTATGCAGGGGACTAGGTCAAGATCCCATGGTAACGGTAGGTCAAGGAACCCTGGTCGGGAAAACGGTGACTTTCCAGGAGAATAAATTCATCAATATTTCGAAACAAATCGATTTGTTTCTGGTACGTATACATGATATAACATTTATCATTCAAAACCATATCTGTGTCGAGGTCTTGTAAACAATAGCCTTCAAGGAATAGTGTGTTTAAAGTAGAGACAAGGATGACATTGACACTATCTATCTAAAAGACTTTCGCAAACCAACCTGAGGCAATTTTCAGTATCCTTGTCCATTCTCTTTTGAAATTGCGATAATTACAATTCGATAACTGAACATGATTTGTATTGTATGTTTAATTGGGTATTGAAATTTCCTTTGGATTGATTTCTCGAAAGGTTTTATGATCGTGTATATCATTTTATTCTAATCATTGAAGTCGTACAGGTGCTTTTATAATAAGAATATTGTAATTGCAAGAGAGAACAGTTTATTTATACGGTGCTTGCGTTTCGAGGGTAAAAAAAAATGTTGAAAATAATTGACATTTAGAAGAAAAAAGGGGAGGTACGTGAAAAGGAATTATATTCAATGAGGACATTTTTTTACTTTTTTTATTGCACATATAGATTCATTTTTTGAGTATCGGTTTCTCATCAAATAAATTTTGTAATGTTTCAATCATTACGTTACTGCAGACAAAACATTTGGCCGTGTTATTTCTGAAAATATCAAATGTTTGCTATAAGCTCTATGACAATTGAGATGAATATTTATTTAACCTTTGTATCCTATAAAAGCAACCATTACAGTACCATAAGATGTTCTCGTATAAAAAGGGTAGAATAGGACGCTGGGTTATTGTACCTGTCAAGTAATACGTGACTGTTTTTTTTTGGGGGGGGGGTGGGGAAAGGGAGTGAATTTTAATTTATGTTCGAGAACGCTTGTTTAATTATAGTAAGTTTATTATTCAACTAATTGATCAATTTAACTGGCTTCACATTGGTTAACGCAATTAATCATTTTACCCCTATATGTTACAACATTTCTCGCCGGGCTTCGTATGAAAGCAAAATATTTGAGTGCCTTTATACAATGTATTTCTCCTTGGTCATTAAGTTAACGAAGCTGGTAGGGCATAGTAATTATCTCCTTAATAACTGATGGTGAGCCCGGGTGGTGAGCCCATAATTTGATAAGGAAATTTCAAAATTTTCATTCGCCCCCCCCCCCCTCTCCCCCACCCACATTCAACTCAAAGATTATGCTTGGATTAGTCCAACAAATCATGATGATGGAAAACATGTTAATCTTTTTATTTCTCATGCAGGGTGTTCCGTTTGCTGAACCTCCTCGTCGCTTCGAGCCCCCTCGTCCGAAGGAACCTTGGTCAGATATATGGAATGCCACGTCCTTTGAATCATCGTGTTTCCAGAATGTCCATCCAATTAACGCACCACCCAGTGAGGACTGTCTTTACCTAAATGTATATGCTCCAAATCCGACGGTAAATATTGCTTGAAACCCTACCTATGCTAACATGTCGTTTATCAAGCCGTGTATTGTCATCAAATTATGCAAATAGCATTGTAGAGACAATGGTCAAATAAGAATACATCGTCTTTCGACAATATGAATCGCGCCAAAATACATATTTATCCATATTTAAAAGATAACTGTCCAGAAACATGGTTAATACGATGTCTAATATTCAAGTCCATTGCTTTTATAACAAAAAAGCTATATCGCTTTAAAGTTGATAATTTTTCATGAGCCAACATGGCAAATTTGGTTGCCCAACTCTTTGTATGTGTTTCGGAGTCCCTGCACTCTCCTTTAAACTTTGACCCAAATTAGATTTTAAGTCAATTTACCAATAAACGTCATGAGTGAAAATATATGAGTCCGTTACACTGTCTTCATTAAGAGTTATGATTAATCCTTCAACCAATCACAATCCAGTCGCGTCTATAAGGGGGTAGGGGGCATGTGCATTTAAAGAGAGCACAAAAAGGGGGCACTACAAATGTTAACGAGAGAAAAAAAGGAGAGACAAGAAGAACACTCTTGATCCTAATGAATACAGATATGGCCTTTTTATATTGATTTTTAATTCAAAAGACTTAAATTTTGATTATATGGACGGCTAAGTAAAAAAAAAATACAGCTAGAATTGTTAAATGCTTACCATTTGTATCAATAAAAAACTGCAGTATTTTCAAAAATTCCAGTAGTTCTCGAAACGGCGCCTCGTGTGCAATGGGTCTAAAATTGCTGACACCGGTCATAACAAAGTAATGGGGGGGGGGGCTTGGTTTATACAAACCTTCAATATCATTTTTCTGTTCTTATTAACAATACACTATACCCTTTTTCTGACCTACCTTTGATTTCAACATTGATTTAACCTGTTTGATTTTGCATCAGCCTACCAATGCTGCCGTGATGGTATGGATACACGGGGGATCATTTAATGATGGCTCAGCGATGTCGTATGATTACTATGGGGTGCCTATGGCGGCGGTCGGTGACGTAATTGTCGTCACTATAAACTACCGAGTGAACATATTTTCAAGATTTTCAACAGGTAAAAGTAATCGCCGATTTTACTTGAATCAAGATTTACATCAGCCTCATGGAAAGATGCCTAAAACTTATAAATATTTATGTCAACAATGGAGCACAAGTACCATTGCCTTTAGAACACTGTTATAATTATTCAGAGTTTCCTGCTATGTAGTTTTATAAATATCGGATGGAAAAAAGAAGAAACATAGGCCATACACAAACTAGCGAGTTGATGATTTCACACCCTTACTTTTCTCTATTTTTTAAAAAAAAGTAATGGCTTGAATCCTCATAGAATTGTGTGCAAAATCACCATTACTGTAAATTATTGTAATTTTGAAAAGAAAATTGTACAGGTGACCAAAAAAATAAAAAGAATATTAAGACTTGACATTTTATAAACAAATTGTATGTTCAAGAGTTATCTTGAATGACTTTATTTTTCAATTTAATTGCAGGAGACGAGGCAGCAAGGGGTAATTACGGGATGTTAGATCAAGTTGCTGCTTTACAATGGGTACAAGACAATATCCGTGGTAAGCTTGCGATCAGCCGGTGAATACCTGCTTGAGAATCCTCGAACACGTTTTCTGCCGGCTGGGCGATTGTTCATTCACTGTTTCTGCACCTGGGTTCTGTAACAGTCTTCCTCAGTACCTTCGCTCTTTTTACTTGCTATTTACTTTAAAAGAAACCAACTAAAGAAATACCTATCCAACATTGCTTGCATTTAATCACTACCTGTCTTTCCCAGGTAAATCACAAACGGTATATTCAGTACTATTTTTCAGTCTCATCAGCGCCTTTGAATAGGCAACCAGATATTGCCGCTCTGCATGGGTTGGATTGGATTGGATGCCAAATTGTTTTGAAAGCAGACTGAATTTGTCTCTTTCGAATATTACAACTTGTCCCCGTCAATAAAATTAGACTTGGAATCAATCGTAAAAATTTATCATACTGTATCTCTGATCTTGCAGGATTGAACGTCATCATACCGTATATCTGTAACATACAATTGATCGCGAATTGCTATTCTTTGTAAAGTTACGACTGGATAAACGAGATGCGGTCAACTTGGGGAAGATACACATAGTCGTACCTTTTTATGTAACAAGGTCGAGATAAACAGAAGTATACTATATACACTGTTTTAAGTATCAAATTAGATTTGGATTACATAAACTTTCTTAAAAAATGTACACAAATAATACATTTCATTAAAGATAAAGACCAGTTATGGTCATGCGATTGCACTGTGAAAGAAACGTTGTGAAATCGATCAGAAAAGGTTGATCATCTAGCATATAAGTATTGGTGTGAACTGCAAGGTTCTGGAATCATCAAAATGATAAGAAATTTGGTCCAGTCTTCGTAAAGTTACAAGCACTGTACACAGAAAGATGTATATGGGACTACGCATACGTGCGCGACACGTGCGTTTATCTCTCACAGTCCAATATATAAACTCATTTACCAAATATATCAATTAGTAGGCAGTTTCCCGGCAAAATTGTTATCATCATGTATTTGTCAAAACATATTCTTTCACATGATCTGATTTAATCTTTTGAAATTGGGGCGTTTCCAATACTAGTCTTTACCTTTAAGAGTTTAAAAACGTATAACCAAATAAAAAATAAATCATCGTCTTGACTTATCTAACCTAACAAAATTATTTCATGAATCGGATGATAAATATTCAATTCAACCTTTGATTATCTAGCTTTTGGCGGCGATGAAAACAAGGTGACTATTTTCGGAGAGAGTGCCGGTGCAGCAAGTGTTAACTTTCATATGCTGTCACCACTGAGCAAAGGTCTATTTCACCAAGCTATTATGCAGGTAGGGAATTTTCATTAACATTTTTATTATGAGTTTGAAGCAATAACCTGATGCCATGCATTATCCCCCAAATAAATGGAATCTCTTTCTAGAGCCTTTCTTATGTTTGGCTGGTCTACTATAATACTTGTATTATGTATTTGCCCCTCTCTTCATTGTCCGTATCTCACAAGTGTTTGTTTTAATTCAGCTTATATTTGCAGAGTGTGCAGCTACACTTATGACAAGAAATCAGGTACTTTTTGACCTCGTCCATCATATTTGTTATCATTGCAAACAAACCATAAGGAGGTTTATCAATCAAGAGGCAGTCGCCTATTCGTTTACCAAGGGAGGGCTGCATTTGTAGATAAGGGACATTGATTTCGGGTTCGTGTGACCGTACCTTTTGTGAACACATTTTTTTTCTTGGCCCTCGAAAATTTGAAAAATCGCACTCCCCCTCCCCCCCCCCTTGAGCGCCGGGGGGGGGGGCGCATCTCCAAAAATAGGTTAAATTAGCGTGTTTTTACAGGTTTTTTCCCAGGGCCCCTACCCCCCCCCCCCCCCTGGATCCGCCACTGGAGTGTAATGTGACCATTTTGTTCGATCTGGTGTGGGTCTCATTGGTGTAACTTCCTAACTGGGTACAACACAGTTTGCATGTTCAATGAGAGGATTACCTCGACAAGAAATTCCAAGTGGGGTTGTGGTGCAAAAAAGATTAAGAATCACTAATGCAGAAAGATTTTGTAGAAAGGTTGCACGTCAAATTCCCTGGATTGCTGTACTATCTACATTTGCCACTGTCACTAAATGATTTTGCAGGAATGCACCCACTTGAATTGTATTGAAAGGGATGCACCCGACATCCGAGGCAATCAATTCATCACCTTTAAAAGCAACATTTTGTGTTCTTCTCTCTCAGAGTGGTAATGGGGTGGCACCGTGGTCCTTTGAGCAACACCCAGAGAATGACCGGCAAAAGGCTGAAAGGCTCGGTGATGCAATGGGGTGTGATGACGTCTCCGATTCGTCTCTGCTAGTCGAGTGCCTACGGACCAAAGACGCCAATGAATTGATGACTGCAGCAGCGAGGGTAAACCATAATCGTGTGCAATATATCTAAGGAGTTAGTTGACATACGGGACTTATTGATATCAGGGACTTTTAAATGTATGTTTAATGCAGGAAATTGGATAATTAATATAAGAATGACTCTGCACTTTCTTGTGAATCGTGCCTTTTCGAAGTTTTCCGCCTTGATACATTTGTGACATAGATAATGGGCCTAAAAGGCACGATTCACACACAAAAAATCCGTCTATGCACATCGGACATAACCGTGAAGGGATGGAATTGGGGGGGGGGGGGGGTACGGGTCTCTGAAGTTTTCAGTTTTAGCATCTCGTTTTATTACGACGGTAACGGTGTAACATATGATGTACGAATATCGTCTAAATGAAGTGATCAATGAGAGTCATGAGAGCTCGTTTAGTTTAGCTGTCAACAAGTTTAACATCTTCTGCAGATTTTTCAGAGCCGCCAGTTATCACATTTTCCGCGTTTCCAACAGTCATGCGAAAGGAAAGATAAGAAATGCTCACAGGAAATCCAAATCCATGTAAAAATTGTTTTCATAGAATTTTAATTTCATCCTGTTCTATCTAGGTATACGGCGGCTATCAAGTCACACTGGATGGCGTATTTATGGAAGATACACCGCTTAACCTCTACGGTAAAGGCGAATTCGCTCATGTACCCGTCCTGGCAGGCTTCAATGAGGACGAAGGCACATTCGTGGTCGTTTTCTCTCCTCCTACTTTCCATGGAACCCCCAACCCACCTCCCCTACCTCGGATCCTCTTAAACACTCTGGTGGCCGATAGCGTTTCTGTGTATGATGGAGATGACGACATTTTAGAAGACGCCGTGTTTCAAGAGTATGTCGACTGGACGACGGATGATCAGGACGCTGTGAACTATTATAGGCCGGTTATCGATGTTATTAGCGACAGTTTCTTTCGATGTCCGACGGATGTTGTCGTACGGAAGCATGTGGAGGCTGGGGATGCGGTCTTCAAGTATTTCATGACGCATGGCCCATCAGCTACGTAAGATTTCACATCATTTCATTAATTTTTATCAATGTCATACTAAAAAGAACATACCATTTTCCAATTTCAAAGCGATAAAATTAAAGTTGACTGACTTCGGGTTTTAGCAAATGGATGAAGAGTATTCTCCTTTAGATAGACACAGGAGCATTATGCATAGTTTCGCCCCTGTGGGGGGGGGAGCTTACGTCTCTTGCTTGACTATAAATTTCCATTTTCCATTTATTACGATTTAGCGCGGAACGATCAATGAAAAACGACTCTGTTAATCAAAGTCATGAGATATACTAGATGAATACAAGATTTAGAAAAAGACCATCACTCGGCTCAAATAACAGGTGGCGGCTGTTCAAATATTGCTTACGTTAAAATTCCTGGGAATGGGGGGGGGGGGATTACAGCTCAACAGCCCCACATTGTTCGGCTATGAATACATATTTAATGTTCACTAAAGTAATGAACTTTTGTGTTTATACATCAGATATATTATACTTCCTTGATCTTAAATACAGGAGCTACTTCGAAATAGGAGAAATAATACCATTCACACCTTGGTTGGATGCGGGCCATGCCGAAGATCTAATTTTCGTCTTCGGAATGCCATTCATCGAACAACTTGCTGGCATCCATGGTCACAATTTGACTGACGCCGAGAAAGCTATGTCGGTCCAGGTCATGCGATATTGGACTAACTTTGCTAAATCTGGGTAAGTGTTCGTAAAATGAAGCCAATGGAAGAGATTTTTCTTTTCGTTTACAAAATTATTATAAAAATTAATATTTACCAAAGAATTTAGATGACGTAGTTCATTATATTACAAAATGTATCTTGCCCTTTCTTCTTCTTCTTCTCCTCTTCTTCCCCTCCTCCCCTCCTCTTCCACTCTTTCCATCTTCTTCTCATCTGTTTTTCCCATGTTTTTCTTCTCTCCGTCTGGTGTTTGAATTTAACAAAAACGAGTCTACTTGTTGAAGAGATATATGTAGTCTAATTCATCCAGCATTTTAGGGCTTAAAGATGAACAAATACTGTGGATTTGAAGCATATAACGGTATCAATGATCGCATTTCTCTTGTCAGAAACCCGAATTCACCCAGTACAGTAGGGAACTTCGACAGTTGGCCCGAGTACACCATACCCGAATTGCGCCATAAAGAACTCTCCCCAGAGTTTAAAGATGGTAGAGCAGCACTGGCAAGACAATGCCACCTGTGGAATGAGCATCTATACGCCCTTGCTGCATCAACTGGTATTTATTTCAAAATACAATTTTTTTTCTCTTTCTGGACCCTTGACCGCTGGGACCTTTTATTCGCCACTAGCGCCGATTGGCACAACCGCACGTTTGCCACGAGTGATGATTGGAACAACAGTAGGCACAATGTGACACAGTGATATTATTTGAGTGGCGCATAGATAATAAAACAAAAATCAGAGGTAACAAAATCTATTCAATAAATACCTGTTACCTTCGTGATAGACTTTGTATTAATTTATTCAAAATACTATCAGAAATGTACACATTTTATGTTATTTGTATTTCCTTCACTTTAAAACAAAATTTATTCTTGGAATTCCAAATATACAATTTCTGTCTTCTTTTTAAATGTGGGTTATATTTACAATGTGAGTGAAATAAACATTTCCCATTTCGCATGTAATTAAATGTTATGATTTTTCTCTTGAAATCACTCTGCAGGTAATCTAGATGAAGATCAAAAGGAATGGAAGGAAAGTTACACTTCCTGGCAGAACGACATGATACTGTGGAGGACCGAATTTGAGGAGTATCAGGAGAATACACCATGCAATGAATAATTAGTATAATAATTATATTTGTAACAATATGAATTCATTCAATTATGATAACGACAAGTCACACGGTCCCTTAACAAGGAAGGATCTTCATAACAAATGAGTAAATATTCGAAATGGAGGATATGAGTTGGATGACGATGGAGATGGAGATGATGATGATGATGATGATGGAGATGATGATGAATTGATGATGATGATGATGATGATGATGATGATGGAGATGATGATGAATTGATGATGATGATGATGACGATGATGATGATGATGATGATGACGATGATGATGACGATGATGATGATGATGATGATGATGACGATGATGATGATGATGATGATGAGGATGATGGTGATGATGATGATGATGAGGATGAGGAAGAGGATGATGGTGGTGATGATGATGATGATGATGATGGATATATGATGAGTAGATGAATTGATGATGATACAAAGATTCAAATGATTTTATTTCTCATGCGAAACATTATACAATGAAATTGCAATTCATTTCATATGTGTTTAAAAAACGAATTTTCAGCTGTTTTTTTTTAAATGTGTATAGACTGGTATTTTGTTTAAGAGATGGGTGTATGTTATTCCAAAATACTGACCGGTGTAAATAATTGTTTTCTTGTGCGACGGCTGTTCTCATGATGAGGGTGATCAAGGATATGACGATAATAATGAGGATGATGATGATGATGATGATGATGATGATGATGATGATGATAATTCTTTTAAGCCGGTATCTACCTCTGCTGCTCACTCATGGTGCTTGCTGGTGGAATCACACAATTCAACGTCACAGTAAAATCATTACCAAAAAGGGGAGGGGTATCGCACAAAAAAGGTTGAAAGCATTGACAATATACTCAATATGTTCATGATTTATTCATAACAAATGCCTGATTTATTTGATAGTTGTCAATGGGATAATCTCTAGATGTTTTGATTAGTTTTGAATGATGTTAATGCATCTATTAGGTGTTAATATATATGTATATATGCAAATGTAATCATATTAAATATATAGAGATAATTCATAACAGACTAACATTTTGTTGAGTATTTTTACTTTCCCCATGTGAGTAGGAAAAAGATAAGTAGACTCGAGAGTTCCAATTTTTAAATGTAGAATGTTGTCAAGAGTAATTATCTACAACAGCAACAACAACAACAAGAATAACATATCCATGTACGTTTTCTCATGTTGTTGAATGTTTGATAATGACCCACCAGCCAACTTGTATAATGCTGCGTGTCATAAAAACTAGGACATACAACAATGACTCAAGACTTTGACCTCTAACACTCCTGGATATTTATTTCATTCAGCTAGTTAATTGGCTAGGAATTCGTATAACTGGACACTTAAAAAGTGCCTTGAATTGTGTTAGACCTTGATTCTAACTAGCTGAACACACTTCGAGACACGTATACCTATACCTCGTCGATTATGGTTTTTAAGTTGTTTAATGAAAAATAAATTAAAATTCAATTAATCAATATTACTGGAAAGAAGAAATAAAGTTATAAAAAATGAAATTATTTAATAGTTCTGAATATCGATATCAATATTTTATTTTATTTTTATTTGACACACGATTGTTTTGTGGGATCTCAATACCATTATATTTACTTTGTAGTATCCTGATAATGTAAGATTAAGAAATGACAGCAACGTTTTGGTTCGAATATCAACAACGTATATTGATGGAATGGCAGATAGAAAACATATTTAAGAGAGAGAAAGAGAGAGAGAGAGAGAGGTTGATGAAAAGCATTATCAAGTACATTTTTTTTTAAGGGAGGGGATGTCAATAACAAAATGTCATGATGAATATATAAAAATTGAATTGGTTAAAAGTGCAAAAGATCCAATTCAGCAGAAATCAAGCGCACTTTTCTTTAATTGCTGTGCACTTTTATTGAATAGTAAAAGACTAGGTTACTTGCCCCATGAAATATGCCCCCCCCCCCCACCCCCTTAATACCAAATGCCCATGAACGATTGTGGCGTGTTCAAATGTCGCAGTCATGCAATAAACAGAGACGGATCTAGGAGTTTCAGAAAGAGTGGGTATTTTTTCCTCAGTCATTTCATTATCCAGGGTAAATAATTTCGAGGATCCCGCCCGCCTAATCATTCAGTTTCGGCTTTATAATGTATAGTGTAGTACGACTCGATCAGGAATCATACCGGAAATTCGATTATTTGAATGACGTACTAGTAGTTCTTTACGTTGCAATTTAGTTTCGTTATGTATCATCTTGAAAGTCTGGGCAGTTTTGTATCAATCAAAAGTTATCAATGTTGGCCTTTAAAAATACAATTGTGTTATACAAATGATTGCATTGTGCAAGAAACTAGTTACATTAAAAAAAAAGACTTGTTTACGATGAGGACTTCGAGTCATCATAATGACAACAAATTTACTATATACATTTCGGCTAAAAAAATAACGTAAATGTGAACATTACTGCACACAGATATGACTTTATGGGATCACACATATATGTGGCGTCTTAAGTTTTGCTCTAAAATATTAAACTAATGTTAGTAAAATTTGGGATGATTAAAGCATTTCAAGAGCGAACATTTTATGTGGCATTGCTGGTATGATATTCTTTTATTGAGCTAATAAGGAATAAGAAAGCTCATAATTTTTTTTCCAACATTACACGACCTCAACCTTTAATAAATCTTGAATGAATCTTTTTAATGTGCCTTGTGTGGCAAGTTAACGTAGAGCCATACCCACTCAGACATCATGACTCGACTGATAGGGGTGCAACTCCTTTCCCTCGTGTTGCTTGTTCCGAGGGGTACATGGGCTGGGGATGAAGTGCCTGGTCCTTTGGTTCGAGTGCAAGAAGGAGATGTGATGGGACGGACTGTGGTATTTAGTGAAAATACTTTTACCAACATCACCGACAAACATATCGATGTTTTTCAGGTAGGCCTAATATCTCAGTGTGAGTACTGTCTGCTAATTTCAATCCATCGGCTGCATAATGTTACGACGTAATTGTGTTTGCGAATATTGGCTACTTTACAACAAAACTATATCCCAAAGTCCAAAGGCAAACACTATAATGTTGTAAAATCCAATGAATATTAAACAACACACGCTGTCAAAAGGAACTACCTCCATGAGGCAGTAATACCGGGTACTAATTGGCTTTCTAATTATATAGATCCATGTATATCGATCAGAACAGAAATGCAAGCCATAACAGTTTATATAATTATAGTCATTGTTTCCTCGATCATTTGTAGAGTGTGAAGCTGGACAGATTCGTGTGATATATGTAGTTTAAATGAAATAAATCAACTGTCATGTATATTGGATGTGGTATTTCTTTCTCGGAACTATTGTTTTAAAATTGGTATTTTGAGGTCATACCCCGAGGCTCTTCAGATATAGTCTTGGTAATAATAAGTGAACTGATAAATACATTCATATTTTTTTAAACTATTAAACACCACAATTACATACATTAACCCGAATTCATGCCCACCGCAGATGCCGTGTCGATTAGGCTAATTAATACTAAGAATACCCTGTTGATATGATATAAGTAGCAAAGCATGAGTTCACCCATTGATGCAGGGTGGGGGTAGGGGGTGGGCACATGAATTATTAGGTGGATGAAATGGAAGAGAAAAAGACCATAGGGTAATTGAAGAGTTGGGATGGGTGTTATCATATTTTCAAGTTTCATGTCCACTCCGCCCTCTTTCTTTCTTATCTCTCATGTACGTTTTCTGTAATAATTTGGGAGGGAGGCACGTGTCCCTTGTAACCCCTCTAACCTCTGAACTGCATCGTATATAGTTTTACGTTCCACATCCTACTCTCTTTTAATATCAAGGGTATCCCGTACGCCGAGCCCCCAGAACGATTCAAGGCGCCTGTCCCAAAGCAACCCTGGCAAGGAATATGGAACGCCTCATCGTTCACACCAAGTTGCAACCAAGATCCTCACCTCTACTATCCGCCATCGTCTGAAGATTGCTTATATCTCAATGTATACGCGCCAAGTCCAAAGGTGTGTAGACTAGCAAAAGCGAGATTATATTAAATTGTACGAGTTAAATTAATGAAGGGATATAATAACAAGAAAATAGTGGCATTATCAAAGACTACGGTCTTGTTTATAACATTAAAGCTATAGCATCGCTGAAAGAATGCTCTTGCACAATAACAAACAATAGTAGTGTTAATGTAGAAGAATAGAAAACTTGAAATCCGCTCATTAGGAGTCATATTTGGAGATCATTTCCATTGGAGTTAAAACAATTCCAAATTCTAGTGGAACTCACTCCAGAGAAGTGGATGGAAAGCTCTTTTGAAAGTGGGTTCCTCATTTTGCACTCGGATTTCAACTTCTGTACATTTAGGGAGTGACATAAACGCAAGAGTGCACTATGCTCTCATCCAATCTAAAATTCATTTGGTAGAGATGTTCATTCTTTGTTCTATTATAATGTGAAGTTGAAAATGTGACAACAGTGGGTCATTGACCTGGTCGTCAATGCTCAATTTTACCTTAATATACGTATTGATATTTTCTTAAACATCAAAGTTCATCGCTGTACCGACTGAAATTAAAACACGAACCTTAGAGTATAGGGCCTGTCATTATAATCGTAAGTCATCAATTTAAGTGTTATTGATGAACAACAAAGTATAACATCGCAAACATGTATTCTCCTTCCATGCTCTCCCGATAAAACACGAAAATGTTCAATACGTATATTTCAATAATTATTATCTGCATAGAGATCAAGACCATGAAAAAACTGCACTGTCATATTTGTGGGGGTCGATAATTCTTGAGGAACTATAAGATAACCATTCAACTTTATATTTGTACGTTTCAAATATTGGTATTGATTAAAACAAATACTGCTAACCCCCTTTGAGAAGATAGGGCACTAAGTGCAACGGAATAAATTCACCTCGTAAACGAATATGAATAGAGCAGCGATTAATTTCCTCTGTATAAGACATGGGATTTCTTTCGTTCCCCTTCGTATATTATATTATGATTGATTGAAACGAATTATTGATCCAATTAACCACAAAAAGATGATGCTTGCTATTGCTTGACCAATGCGTTTTTCTTTTTATTGATTGCTTTAATACTATATAAAACATGATTAGGATGAAGATTAAAGACATAGTGTCTGCAGTTTCCACGTCCAGTATGTCCTAGACTTGGTGGAAATACCGTAATTGGTATACTCGTTTCGCACACAACACATGGGATGACCCACCTATATGTAGTAATCTACCCCCAGTTTCTTAGATTTCTACGTTGAGGGAAGTTATAGTTTCCTCTGATTTGTTGGTGGAGGCACTGGAGGGTGCAATGTATTACACAAGACATGTCGTTCGTAAAGTAATATCAACTATCGGTGATTGAAAAACTATATTGGGCGAATGCTCGAATAGCGTCAACTTCCCAATGAGAACCAAATTGATACTCGAACGGAGATTTAACGTAAATCTACGTACAAGGGTCACCCAGGACCAACGTTCATAAAGAGAAGGTGAGGTTTGTATGCACACTTGAGCACCAGATATTATCGAAATATATCAGACCTTGTCATAATAATTATTACCATGCATCCACTGTTCTGTGCCAACACCCCATAGAAAAACATTCAAAGACATAGTGCATGATCGCTAGCGTGAAATGGGCTTCCTTTTTTGCAGTCTCACAATACGAATGTATCATATTTTCCCAAAATAGGCACATAAGCCTTTACGTTTTCAGGTGTTTGCAAAAACTCCGTGTAAGCATATGGTATTTGTTCATGTTTTGCCTTGCTTTGTCGAAAATATGTCTCGTTGAAATCCCATGAACATAAAAATGTATCCCTTTTACAGCCTAGTTGCTGTAAACTGTCGTGCGCACTCAAATTCAATTAGAATAAAGACTAATACTAATACTAAACCAAATACTAATACTAATATCAATACTAATACTGAAACTAATAATGAATATAATGTTTAAGATGGTTGATGTATTTTGTTGCATATATTAGTGGGTATCCACTTATAAATAATCGTAAATGGTTTACTCTGCAGCCTACTCAAGCAGCCGTTATGGTGTGGATCCATGGAGGATCCATTGAAATAGGCACATCCATGACGTGGGATTTCTATGGAGTGCCATTGGTTGCTGTAGGTGACGTCATTCTTGTGACATTAAACTACAGGCTAGGAATATTCTCACAATTCACCACTCGTAAGTGTCATGGAGGCATGTCTTGTCTCTATTTTTTTTTACCATTTAACATATGGAATCATGTACATAATTAAAAAAATAAATAGTATCGAAAACAGAACATAGTGTGAATGGGTATGGTTCCTAATGACCAGTTAATTGCCATACTGTAGGTTATAATAGTTGAATTGCATGGACGAGAAAGGGAGGAAAAAAGGAGAGATATAAGTCATAATAAAGAAGGTAAACAATTAAGTTGTGTGCTATAATTCACCCCCCCCCCCCCCCCCCCGCCCCGGATAAATTTATATTTTTAATTTAGGTTAGGATGCAGTGAAACGTTACTCATTTTATCCCATGTTTATAGGAGACAATGAGGCCACCGGGAACCTTGCTATGTTTGACCAAGTGTTGGCGCTTCAGTGGGTTAACAACAACATTGCAGGTATTACACGATTTTAGACCTACAGTACATACAATTTGAATATTTTGGTAAAGTTTGAGAATAACAAATAGTGGAAGAAAACAGTGAATATTTTGAATTTCATTTAAATTAATTTCTGGCTAACCTGATGTCCTACCTTGGATTTTTTTTTTACAGATATATAATTCTTTTTCGACGTTCATGAATCACGAAATGGCATATCAAATAATATAATATTATTAAATAGTTATGATATTCATCTTAGTGGTACCAAAACTTCAACATTTATCATCTGTACAATATACCATTGCTCTCATTACAGATTTTGAACTCTAAATTTGTTTTTTGCTGGGCCTATGTTTTAGCTTTTTTTGTTATTATTATATGCGGAAATTCTCTCTCTCTCTCTCTCTCTCTCTCTCTCGCTCGCTCGCTCTCTTTGTAGCCTTTGGAGGAGACGTCAGCAGGATTACAATATTTGGAGTAAGCTCAGGTGCCACTAGTGTCAGTCTTCATCTCCTTTCTAAACTCAGTCGTGGATTATTCAGCCAGGCCATTATGCAGGTACGGTTTATATCATACATCGTAAACATGGCAAGCCGTAAGCTCAATTGCATTCATTTTTCAATATTGTATAGAAACATATAGACAAATTAACACAACTGATGAAACAATCGCTAAGAAGTAAGCTATCAAACATTTTAGCAGGGGGTAAAGGGTTATTTTAATATCAACTTCGTTAAGTGAATTCTGATTTAACATTGACACGATTATACATCTTAATCTAAAAGTAACTGGTTGATGATAATGCATATGTAATTAGATTGAACATTAGTTACAGGCTGTCCCAAGCTTTTACCCCTCATGGTCATTTCGAATGATTTCATGTAATTACATGAATTGATATTACGACTGACTGCATGTCAACTGAAGGATATAGTTAAAGCATTACTAAGTTCACATTCTAAACAGAATATTGAGTTTGGGTAAAGGTGACATATAAGTTGTGAACTTTCTCCTGTTAAATAATATTCATATAACAATGTCATATGAAAAGTGCTGCCCTAGAAATTCCCCTATGTAGCAACTATAACTGTTTAGATGAGACCTAAAACGTAGGACTGACTTTGATGCCACGTATGTGGAGGGGCGTCTGTGTGATCCAATATAATTATATACATTTTGAGTGCGGTGCTTAATGTGAACTGCATATTGAACATCGCCCAATAATCGCTTGACCGGTACTCAACTTTACCTCTAGCTCATGTACATTTGTCATCCAATCTGACAGAGTGGCACGTCACTAGCAAGTTGGGCCTTCCTTGAAGACCGGAAGAAAGACCTAGATAATGCCTGGGATCTTGGCCTAGCATTGAACTGTGACGTCACCAACTCTTCCACACTGGTTTCATGTTTGAGAACAAAACCGGCTGATGACCTCCGTCGAATAGCAAAACCGGTAAAACTTCAATTTCACACATTATGTTGAGTGAAGATGAAACCTCATTAAAAAGTACAATTGGAAGAAAACAAGATGCAGTAAAGATACCGAATTCAACAACAACAAAATCAAGAAGAAATTTTTGGTTTCTCGAATCGTTAATGAAGATATTCCGTCTTCGCTGGTTCTATAAATGAAAACTATTTTTAACGCATTCTTGTTAGCTTATATTTCGGTAGAATATGAATGGTACTGTGACCGTCGTTTATTTTCTAACGTCTTGTAACGTAGTATACTCGCGGTGCGAGTGTGAAGTATCATTTTATTTTAGCTTCCGCAAAAATATGTTCTCCTGTGTTTTTTGAAAACGAATTAACCTGACAACTTTTTCCCTTTCTTCAGATATATGGTTCGTATTCTTCAATGCACCTCGACGGTTCATTTCTTGAAGACACGCCCAAAGCCCTTTACGAAGTCGGAGACTTTGCTCATGTACCCGTCACCATAGGCTTCGGTAAGGATGAGGGAACCATGATACCTTTCCTCAGCTTTCCCCAATACACGGGAGATCCCAATCCGCCATTTATCAATAAGACAACATTTGACGCCTTTGCCAGAGGGTTATTCGAGGGTGATGACATTGCCCCCTTGCTGGATGCGGTGTCCCAAGAATACACCGACTGGTCCCACGCAGACGACCCCAATGCAGATTATTTCCAGTCTCTCGTTGACATGTGCGGTGACGTCATGTTCAGCTGCCCAGCCGATTCACAGCTACGCTTCCACACTGGATCTGGAGACAAAGTTTTCGCTTATTTCTTCACACATGCTCCATCTGCCACGTATGTTTTATACACAATTTACATCGAAGGGATTCTTTTTGATTAAAATGAAGACCGGAAAAAGAACTCATGCCAAGGACAATTTCAATACCCTATGTAAATGTAGATCCTTTGGAAATTGTGTTCCTCACTGTAATGCTCACACATTTTCATTAGACCATTGGCCGTTTATTTGTATTAAACGTGTTGGTTGCGTGGTTGATTCTTTCGTTGATATCGTTTTGTTTCGACAAAATATCTATGAGAAATTAGAACTTTGATTTGTATAGCAGCAGCGAAAGACACTGAATAATTGATTAACAAATTAACATCAAAAATCATTCAAATTAAAGACGTACAATATATTCTTGATATAAACATCCAGTATGCTGAAACTTCAATTTAATAAATATTATGCATTTTACACAGGCCCCTTGATTCCTTCCTTCGTTGATTTTTTTCCTTCACATTTCTCATGTTCAGGAGTTATGCCCAGGTTGGTGACGTAATACCTTTCACGCCATGGGTTAATGCTGGTCACGCTGAGGAGCTCATGTTTGTGTTCGGGATGCCTTTCATAGATGAACTTGCTGATATCCACGGTCACAACATGACGGATGACGAAAAATCCCTCTCTGTGAAAATCATGACAATGTGGTCCAACTTTGCCAAATATGGGTATGCGATCAAAACTACACATGACAGAGATATAAGTTCACCGATTATTACTTCAACTACTACTTACAACATGTTACATAAGATGTATGAGCCACATATTTAACAGAATGGTATTTCTAGAACATATAACTGATAGTCAATTTGCAAAGTTTTTCACAAAAGAAATATTCGCTCGACTTCTTATTTAATGTTTATGAATACGATTTCACCAATGCTGATATCAAATTATGGAATAAATTGGGACACATGTGATACTTGGTTGTGATTGACGTGTTCAAGCTAAGAGGGTGGCATACGAAGGGAGGGGGCAGGGCAATCTATACACATAGTTTGGCCAACCCGGTTCGAGTTGGACACAATATTATGGTGACTACTGCTTTGTTGGGCAATCACAAAACAAAAGAATATATGCCATAGTGTGACCCAGTGAATCCAAGTTGGCCAAACTCTGTATATAGATAGCTCTGGGAGGTGGAGACTTGTCAAAAAAATTTAGACCCGTGCTCTTCGAAAATACTTTTCCTTCACTCCTGTTATCGGTTTGTATCCTTCACCAGAGACCCTAGCAAAAGTTCCCCTAGTGACCATCCGGGGCAAGGAGAATTTAGTTGGCCTACATACACTATTCCTGAACTGAGCTACAAAGAACTTTCATTAAGCTTGGCTGTTGGTAGAGCCAAGAGAGCTAGACAGTGCCATCTACTCAACAGTTATATCCCGCAGCTTGCTCGGGTTATAGGTAAGGAAATGACTCGCGTTCAAGCTTGCTTACAAAGAATGAATAATATATTTAGGTATCAGGGCCACACAAAAACGGAGAGTATTAAATGAACCCATGATCGACGTCTGAGCAGAATCATGAGTTATATACGCTCAGATGTCCATGTGAAAAACAGTGTGAAAAATTATTAGCAGTACCCTTTCTCTCTTTAGTAACCATATTAATGAACCATGCATGACCACTTATATCGGAATAATGCCTTAAAACACGCAATTTTCCATTGTCCTTGCATTGATAAGTAATAACTAGCCATCTGAAATTTTGATCTGTTTCTCTTTATGTGATTTTGATTTCCAGGTGAGGTAGATCCAAGTGTTCGAAAATGGAAGGATATTTTCGATGCGTGGCAGAGAGACATGACAGAATGGAGAAAGCAGTTTCAAGATTATAAATCGAAAACAGACTGTTAGGAAATTCGGAGGAGGATCCAGAATCTCTTCCTAGGGGGCGGAAACAATTTCTGACAAACAAGAATCCCCCCCCCCCCAAAAAAGCTTAACATTTATTTTTCGATACTGCTTTAGAGAGAAAATCTCTGACAACCAAACACGAAACAAACATAAATAAGTAGATAAAATGTAATCAAAATAATATATTATCAAGAATATCTTGACAATCGTTGTCATGTATCATACTTCATTATACTCATTGCACTGTGAATCTAACTCATTTTTTGTAACACATTATAGATCAAAAGGGATGTTTCCAATACAATACTATACTACTGCGCATATTCCTATATCTTAATTGTGCCAGCTGTAAAAACTAGCACTGCTTAACAGACACGAAATGTGAGCCATTCGGCAATTACTAATATTTTTATTTCTAGAAAATAATAATCAGTTTTTACTTTAAAGGCCCCACTGTCCTACTTGTAGCTACTTGCTCCCTCTATATAGAAAACTTCTCCAATCGGTGCCTGCTGGTCCCCCATGATCCTCTTTTTTCTTATGTTAGTTGAGAGCCGAGTTAATGAGATAGCCACCTGTCAGTGACCTCGCTGTGTGGTCTAATCCCTTCTGGCCCAGTAGTATTGACGGTCTTTAATGGACAATTGTGCCTTCTCTAGTTTGCAGAAAATCAAAAAGCGAGTAATAATACTGATACAAATAACTGTTATATTCAATTTAAATGGTTAGAGAGATGTTGACACTTCTTTAGTCTAGCATTAAAGTAATCAAGCACATTTGCTCATCCTGTGGTATTAATTGTATTAGGACCTATATTGCAAACCCTAAATTCAAATTTCTAACATTTTCAGGTCAATAATGGAAAACATAAAAACTGTACATTTGCCACTTAAATTTCATGAGAGTGGATATTGGTATCATTTGGGATGTTCCCAAGATATGTAGATAAAAAAAAAACGATCAACAGTTCTACACATATTATGCTCAAAATATTTATCTACCTTGAGTTCTGTTGATTGCGTAATATTGTTTGATCGTGACTCGGAAATAAATCTACATAAGACAATCTTAACAACGAGTGTGGGGTTGTAATGTAATCAATCTGGTTTTGCTATTTTTTGATGGTGTGATACTGTCATGAGAGGTGTCATGGTGAATGCCTAGCATCTAATATTTACATTTAATTCATTGAGAACTTTTCATAGGAATGAAGAGAATTTGATGCTTTAATGGTGTTGTTTGAATTCTATATACTTTGGACCCTTCGTTGACAGATTGTAACACTGGAAATCCTCATTATTGTAACAACATGACGTACCTTTTATTGCGTATGGTGTTTATCTTCTGCGTTCTGTCGGCATGTTTGTTCGAAACTGATGCGGAGGATCCTACAGTCACAGTCACCGAAGGAGAACTCTTGGGAAAGACCGTTTTATTCGAAGAAAATGAATTCATAAATGTCTCAAAAAAGGTTGACCTATTCTTGGTAAGCATAATATGCTTAGAAACTCCGACGCCGTTATAATTCAAATTTAGTAGTGATTATTTGTGGTTTCGTTCTGGCATGTAGGCAAACGTCATATTAATAATTAAGACAAAGTTGATTTTTGTGATTTTCTAACGTAGAATCTTTTGTTGAATACAAATTTATGCAGTTATGATGAGTAGCAATATTTAAAAATTACCATTTTGTTATTTTAATGTTATATATGAGTTGTTATACCAGACAGACCTGAAATATAATTATGACAGGTGCATGAATGAATCTTTATCGGTGATATACATTGTTAATGACCCACCTTTTTCTTCCTTTTTAAAAATACTTCTCAGTTATTTGGTTCATTTGAAAAAGTACAATCAATACCGCATATCGCTGGTTTTCATTAGCAGCGATGCTACATTCACATGGCCCTAAACGGTGTAATCATCATGTACTTGTCAATTTTGACCGACAATATTACATCTTTGTCATCATGATACCAACTACATGCAGGGTGTCCCATTTGCCGATCCTCCCGGTCGCTTTGAGCCACCCCAACCTAAAAGAAGATGGTTCGGACAGTGGAATGCTACTACATACAGAACTGCCTGTCTTCAGACACCCGTCGCTTCCTTCTACTTTCCTGATTTCATGGATGAAGACTGTCTGTATCTCAACATCTTTGTCCCAAACCCGAAGGTAACTACAAAGATTCGCCAGCGAAAATAGACATTGCAGCAAATGAAATGGTTAGGGAGAAATCGAATCTTTAGATCCTCCTACGGCGTATCTGGAGTAAGCCTTCTTAGCTGCTTGTTCAGGCTATATGAAGTTGTTCATAAAAACTTTTATTTCTTAGGGCTGGCAGGTGCCTAGTGCAATACTGACGTGCTAGTGAAGGGACGGTTTCTTTTGAATTCATTATCCTTTTGTATTCATGGATAAAAGCGTCATATTTAATGGCGGCCATAGAGCTAAAAGTGCCTCTGATAAATCATTGAAATAGTCACATGAAGGATGTTTTACAGATCTTGGCAAATAAAAGATTGGTAACTGGTAGGTTTTTCTTATAATCGTAAGGGGACCCCGACTATCATTTATTTATTTGTTTATTATTTATTAAATTTATTCATTAATTACCCATTGTTCTTATTATCATTATTTATAGGTAATTATATATATTTTTGTTTTGGTTGTTTTTTATTTGTTTGTATGTTATAGTTGTTGTTTTTGGAGGGGGTGTTTTTTCATTGGAACAATAATTAGACTAAAGTTAATTGGTTGTATGACAAATTTGCAGTGGCCAATCTGTCCGAATTCTGAACCCTTAATCTAACTTAAAATCCAATTGCACCCCTAACCTTGAGGGAAAAAAGACCGGAGCGGTTGTCGTCATAGCAAATTGCTAAAGGTATTATATATTACTTAATATACCCAACTGCAAACTCAGACTCATTTAATCTATCATTGATATATATATTTTCAGCCCCATAAAGCAGCTGTTATGTTATGGATCCATGGAGGAGGGTTTGAATCAGGAACAGCATCTACTTACGACTTCTATGGAGTGCCGCTTGTAGCAGTGGGTGATGTCATCATTGTCACCATTAATTATCGACTCGGTGTATTCGGTTTCCTGTCAACTGGTACTACCTGACTTTAATATTTAATTCGTATTCTGCATCTAGTAAGGATTATATTCATGTTTTCTTAGTCCCCTATAATTTTTAAGCCTGGTTTAACTTAAATTCCTGCTAAGTTGGATCAGATTTCATGATGTGGCCTAAGTATCAACATATTCCATGCATTATATTAAACTGAATGATTTCAACTTGAAAGGCCTAGCTATTTATCATATATTTATTTTTCATTTATTTGTTTTTTACTACAACTTTTGTTGTTTGTTTTGTTGTTGTTGTTGGTTTGTCCTTTTCGTTGTTTGTTATTTAAGTGAGAATTTCCACATGTTGGTTTTAATATTCACATGATGTATAAGATACTCGCTAATAAGTTTAATCGATGTACCATGCTTTGTGTAGATGACGACAAAGCGACCGGGAATTACGGGATGCTTGACCAGGTTGCTGCTTTGTCGTGGGTCAAAAGTAATATTGAAGGTAAGTCGAGGTAATATCTATGACTGAAAAAAATCTTTGTGTGTCGAAATATCATTTTATTGCCATTTATAAGCACATCATGTGTCAAAAGGGGCTAATGTGAATACAAAATCGTTGGTATTCCGATGTTTGATAATTTGAATAAATTTTGCGAATTTGGAATAACAATTTTAAGATACTATCACTTACATGTATGCTTAGCCTAGAGAGAGAGAGAGAGAGAAAGAAAGAGAGAGGGGGAGAGAGATATTTTAGATTCTTGTTTTTATATTTCTTCTTTTTTGGTAGCTTTCGGAGGTGACAGTGAGAGGATAACACTTTTCGGAGAAAGTGCTGGGGCTTCCAGCGTAAATTTCCACATGCTCTCTCAACTTAGCACCGGTATTTTCCACCAAGCAATTCTTCAGGTATCAATTTCCATATTATTTCTGAGATTTAGGGATAGTAACAAATTATACAATTCTTATCTTTTAATAATTTGTTTAGGGTCAGCGAAATACTGGATGTACATGTAGTAGCAACACGATCGAAATGATCTTCAAGCAATCAACTTAAGGACAATACAATAACTCATCTTTTGTTATTGCCTTTACAAATCATGTTCGGATTATTTAATATAAATAATAATTGCACTATCCACACCATTCAAAAGATGACGCACTCTGGCTATTGAAAGTACGATATGTTGATTTTTCGAAAGTCTATAATATCGGTTGCCTACGTCACCCTTTCCCTTTAAGTTATGTTAATAATTATATCGTTTACATGTTTAATAGCATATGTGATTTATTGTATGTTGACATGGATAGAGTGCTTCGGCGTTTTCCAACTTCGCTTATCAACCAGATAGAAGTGCAGAAAAGCGGTACGCAGAGGAAACCGGCGAAGAATTGGGATGTGATTCATCCTCTTCAAACGAACTAATCGAGTGCCTGAAAGGAATTAATGCCAGACGACTACGAGCTGTGGCGGACAGGGTAATTTATTCAAAAAATATGTGAAAGAGTATAAGAATATAAGTTCTTAGATATTCAACATATTCAATATTTGATTACACATTACGATCTGAAGAACTATAGACTTTCCCCCGCTATGGGTTATGGATTTCAAATATTTCTTTTAAAAAATACAGTCAGATCATATATTACGACTCTGAGTATGCCTTGATAAGCTTTGGATGTTTTTTTTTTTTTTTTTTTTTTTTACTTCAGTATATAAATTCACAATCTGTTTCAGTATCCAACACAAATTGATTTATCAAAGAACACCGTATTCATTACTGATTGGTGCCATGAACAATGCTACCTAATTATGTACAAGCATGTTTTTATCCAAAGGTCTATCCTGCGTACTCTGTCTCAGTAGATAGGTACTTTCTCACCGACACACCGGCCAACCTGTATAGAAGAGGCGATGTCCAGCACCCTACGCTCCTAATCGGGTTCAATAAGGATGAGGGCTCTATCCGTGTCTTCGGTGAGAACCTAGCCTACGCAGGTTCAACGAAAGGACCACCAATCAACAAGAGCAATCCTGAGGAATCCGTGAAGGCATCATCTGCCAAGTACGGCCTCGGCGATTCCATTCTGCAGGAAGCAATGCTACAGGAATATACGGATTGGGCTAAGGCGGATGATCCAGACGCGGAATTTCTCGATGAGCTCATACATTTCCATGGTGACTTCGACTTTATTTGTCCAACCATAACAACGTCGAGATTGCATGCTGAAGCAGGAGACACAGTTTTTCAATACTTCATGACCCATGAACCTAGCATGTAAGTTTGTCCTTAAGGAATAGACTCTGAGTATCGTAAATGGCTATGACAAAATATGATAACATTTAAAAGTATAAACATTCCTACATTCACTAAAACTTTGTATTTCGTCATGGATCAGCGTGCGAAATGTTGTTTGAAACTAAACACAAATCTTAAATCTATCATAAATCTGAATGGACTTATCATGATGAATTATTGCACTTTTCTTGTTTCTTCAGGAGTTACCTGCAGTACCGAAACCTTCTTCCGTCAACCCCATGGCTCAAGGCAGGACATACAGAAGACCTGACCTTTGTAGGGGTGTGCCCTTCATCAAAGAATTGGATGATGTCCATGGGTATAACATGACTGCCGAGGAAAAGGCACTAAGCGTTACTATCATGGTGATGTGGACTGACTTTGCTAAAACTGGGTAAGGACAGTTTGCCGAGCAGAGCAACTTTGACATGACGTCTGTCTGATTCCATAAGGGTGTTATGTCTGTGTAAGATGAAATGAGTTGTATAAGGCCCTTTTGGCTCTAAACAAAATGAAAAGTGTGGGACTGAAGGCATCATTGAAAAGTTTGTATCATCCTATCAGTATCATCGTTCTTTGTTTAGATTTTAGTGATATTCACGTAATACTATGTCGTTAAACTAGATATGGTAACATGATTAAAAAAGTCACCAATGCCTTCTGCAATTGAAAGAGAGCATTTGGTTAATGAAATAATGACATTAATTTTAGCAAAACATAATTGTTCGATAAATCCAGAGCACTTAGATGAGTTGTCGTGCATTACTTTTTAATGCATAAACATCAGTTTATCTCTGCAGTAATTTGTCTCATATATTACAATGATGACGATTATGGTAACAACAAGAGTACATAATATTGTGAGCGTGAATCAGAGTATAAATTACCACTTCTTTCATTCCATGTACTCAGGGTTCCTACTGCTAAATGGCCACATTTTACTATTCCTGAACTTCAATACCAAGAACTGTCACCAGCGATGGGGATGGGTAGAGCTGCAAGAGCACGACAATGCCACTTCTGGAGCCCGTATTTGCTGAAATTAAAAACTTACACTGGTATGTTGACGTTGCGTCAGATGTAGGGCATTTCTTTCTTTAAAATTAGAATTGTTTTCCCATTTGTATCAAAAGTACAATCTGTTTTCTTTGTTTGTGTCAATAAAAATTCAGTAAAAAAGCTTCAACTGTATATTGGTTTATTAAAGCGAAATAATCGTAAATCATTTTGATGCTTACCTTGCAGCGATTGACATTGCATTTTAAATTGTGCGCTCCTAAAATCGTTTGTAATCTATCTCAATTGTATACATTTCAATTGCCTGAAATATGGACAAACGAAAAATGAGGCAACTCTTATATGAAGATAGGGATAACTTGGGATTAGCTCTTTGATACTTTAAGATGGATTTGAAGTCTTTTCCTTTCTATATTTGTAAAAGAAACAGTTCAAAATAGAGTCTGACGACTATATTAAGGCAAATTTCAAAAAATATGAAAGAACATTGGTGATTGGAAGGAGAAGTGCATAGTCGAATTTTTAGTCCAGGTACGCAATCTACATGTAATTCTGTCCTTCATCTTTTTGCAGATGACGTTGAAGATGTTTCGATTGAATGGCAGCAGAGCTACGCCGCATGGAAAGAAGATTTTGGAACTTGGCAAGATGTTTTCCAAGAATATAATTATGGATCCGATTGTTCATGACGACATCATGGTCTTAATAGGAATAAAATAAACGAATTTATATTTTAATGATAGAAATAGAAACACATCTATCTGTTAGAAAAACTTTAAAAGCAACATTTGCAATGCATTGTCGTGTATTCAACAATCTGCTTTGTATGTTTATCCATTTTTAATTCATAAATTTAATGTTTAATGTTTAATGTTTACGTTTATTATTTTTTTAAGTTACCCTTTATTATAAACATGATATTATTAGTCTTTGGACTACAATCATGTATCAGCTTTTAAACGTGTATTGTTTATTTTGATAAAACCCGAATTTAATTGAATAGAATTTTAGATCAAAGTTATTGTTGGGGGGAAACTACATGCTCTAGGCATCTTATCTGATTCGCCAGTGTCCCTTCATCTGATCTATTGTGTTTAACCACTCTTTAACCGCTTCTCCATGATTCGGTTCCTCGAGCTGGTCAACATTTTATACATCATCTTACCAAACAATACTTGAGTAAATATATTTATAATAATTTATGATGGAGTAGATATGCAGAGATAAATGTCCTGCGGCTCTAATTCATCGTGTAAACTAGACTTCGTGAAGCTGAACGTGTTGAGGGATGCTTTCAAATTTGCATTCAGTTGTCGGACAAAATTAGCGTTTGATTGCGGGAAAACCGTGTTCAAACGGGATTCTGTCCACGTAGATCGCACTGGATTCCTGCACAACGCGTGCAGGTTGGTATGTGCTAGTAACATCCTCACAATGAAACGTGTCTCCAAGTCTCCTTTTGAGTTTTTCAACCATGATTAGAAGGGTTTGATATCTGAAATGAATTGTCAGTATAATTGTATCACGGATTGTGACGTAATAACCTGCTAAACCCGTGTGATAATTCACACGAAATCTGTACTAATCTCTTTACAGAGCAGCTAAACTGATTCTGAGGTAATAAAAGTTGTCAATGAACTATTAGAATGAGGAGAGTCATTTTATTCTGTCATTTAACAGTACTTTATGTCAATTAATAGGCCTAGATGGTTTGAAATTTGATTTACTAATCGGCACACGTCTTCCTAATTACTTCTTTTTGAGAATATATTATAAAGCGTTAGCAATGTTGGCTCTTAAAAGCTTGTAATTTCGAGAAGTTATATGATATGGGTTGACATTTTGTTAAATCTTGAGGATGAATATCTTTTCCCCAACAGAAGATATTTATCGTGACGTATGCGGCTGATTTTTAAAATATTCACATAAGCCTATCATCACGATCATAGGTTACTTTATCTCTGATCGTGCAATGTCCATTGTAATTCTTATTGAGAAAAAAAATCTAAAAATACTTATTACCAAAAGAGGGAACAGTGTATTTCAAGGGGAGATAATATAGGCAGACAGACCATGACACGCCAGCGCCCGTGTTTTTTTTTAGTCCAGCTTGATGGCTTCTACCATTTTGAGAAGAAGTACATAGTCTGTTGCCCATTAAGTTGGAGTAAATTTTATGTTACAACTTATCATGAAATAAATATGACAGTGTGATTTTAGTCTTCTCAGAAATGTATTGATCAACCTTTAGATTCATAGAGATTGATAAGTAAAGTTCTTAGAAGATATACACTTAATCGATCAAGAATAAATCATATTGTCACAATATGTCATGAAAAGAGGTTAGAAGAACATTTTATACCAACTGTATGGACAACAGTGTATATTCAAGCCTCGTGTAGGTGAATCAAATAAAGCGGTTCTTTTCCTTACAGGGGATTATTATCATGGGCATTGTACTAGGAATATTAGCTAAATTATCACTTTGGTGTGATCCATTAATTTTGGGCGAATTAAGTCAATAGTTTTTTGGACTTTATACATATAAACTTTTTAGCTTTGTCACACCGACAATAACGACATCGGACCGGCAACATGCAGCACGAAAACAAATGCATTATCCAAAGTTATCGATTGGTTCTGGATACACTTTATCATATGACTGGGAAATGACTGGGGTATATGTTGTGCAACTCTAGACTCTGAATAAATGGATTATGAATGTTTGCTCTATGTGATAATTGCTTACTCAACAAGTTATCAGGTTATCGTTGTATTGATGATTAATCAAATATTTACACACCAATTAACGTCCATGAGACGTCTTTACAGTGCGTATACAAAAAAATGTACCCAACTTTAGTAGCTTCTAATTAAAAAGTTATAATTGATGTGACCTTGAATCACATTTCATGGTAACTAATACCCCGTCCAATGATACAATTTTCATAATTTTGCTGCCACAGATAACTGAGCAGCGCGCTTTTCAAAAAGTATTGTCAAAACCCTCTTGTACCAAGTTTTGGCTGAAACAAAGAATGTGGGTCAAAAGCCATTATTGGTGTGTTATTTCTTTCCAAAAACAATTGCTCACTTATTTACATGGACAGTTAGGCAGTAGAAAAGAAAAATATACTCCTTACGCGTGTGAAATGGTACAGTAGGCAAGTGAGCAGATAACAAAGTTAGATATAATGAGAGAAGACTTCAGTGGGCTGTCCAAAATAATTAAAGGTTATCAAATGATTGAAACAAGTTTCTGTTAAAGCATATATACACTGAATTATTTTAAACAATAAAGCACTGAAGCACGAGGCATAATTTAGCATTTCAAAAGATTTAAAATCAAAGAAGCACATGCATATTGCCTGACCAAAATTCGTTCCATCACTGAGCCCAAACTTGGAACATGGCGATTCTGACAACACTTGTTAAAGACCCTGGTGATCAGTCACCCGTTGTATAATTGGACAGAAAACAAGTTACCCATCATAATGAAATAGATTTCAAATTCATATAGGTCATGACTTTTTAATGAGGGGCTTCTAACGAGGCGCGTAACAGCTGCACTGCTAAAGCCAGGGTAATTATGCTGCATTATTGTAGAGCGCTTAGAGACTTCTGATAAAGTAAGTGTTAGGCGCTATATAAGCAAGGATAATTATTATTATTATTATTCTAAAGTTGAGTTTACTTTTTTTTATACCTACTGTACATATTTTGTTCTTTAAGTGTATATTATATTTGGTCATGTTGGTATTAATTGGATATTAGATGAGCAGGACGGGATCATAAGTCTGTTACAATTAAAGTGAAAATCCAGGGGTCGAGAAATGTTTGTCAGTTTTCTCTTTTTTTTAATGTCAAACCAGTGAATATGGCGTTTCAAAATATTTATTGGAAAAAATTGACAAAATCAGCTCTAAATGCTATATGTTCGTTCAGAGTGTTACGGGTGGTGTTCTCTACCCGTTGTCCCCAGGTCCTTAGTTCACAACAACAGATTACACAACACTCAAAGTGGTGATTTCAGGAACCGATCTTATTCAATCGCCATTTCGAGCGTAGTTCTCAAACTCCTAAACTAAACTAACTCGTCCTCAGGACAAGTACGTACAGTGTATCTAGAATCGGTCGATACACCCATCACAAGAGTAAGAATCAAATATGTTATCAATAATTTCTCGATCGCTTTTATGTGACTGGGGGTATATATTGAGCAACTGTAGACACTGAATGTAGATCATGAATGTAGTAACGTTTGCTTCATGTGATAATCGCTTACTCAAAAGATAACTCAGCATGTTATCAGGTTATCATTGTATCGATGATTAATCAAATATTTATACACCAATTAACTCCCGACGTAATGATAAAAGTTCATGAGACGTCTATTTACAAATTTTGTTCTAACTGTATATTTCGTCATGTTGGTATTGAATATTGTAAGGGCAGGTCGAGACTTGTCTGCCAGTCTCTTTGCGATGTCACACCAGTGAAAAGGGAATATTAACAATATTTATTGAAAGAATCGAGAGAAAATAAATCAGATAATCCAAAGCTATGTTCGTTGAGAGTCAGAATCAAATACGAATCTTGATTCAATTTTATGTAATATGTATCAACAGACAAATCTGGTTTTCATGTATTTACTGATCAGTTTTTGATAGTCATGGCAGTTTAATTTACGTCCCTAATGTATCATGTGTATCAAGATAGTTCAAAACTTAAATTGGACAAGTTGAATAGTCTTTTATGAAATTTATTGCATTTGTTGTTACCCAAGACGAAAAGACATAACAAATATGGAAATATTCACATGATTAAAATGTATACATCAATGAAATACAAAGAAGAAACGCATGCAGAGCAAACTAAACTAAAATATGCCATATCAGATGACTGGAACAAAAACGAGTCAACTAGAACATCAGTCAAACCGGGTTAACTATCAAGGAAATTGAAGGGTATGCTTCACAATTTAAACATGTTATGAGATCATACCAAACGAAATACATGCATTAGATTTATGTTACTATGTTCACACGCTATTGTAGTGAAAATATATTTACATGATTTAAAATACTAACAGTTTTCACCATTCATTGTTTGTTAATGAAAACTGACTCTTCAGTGTAACGTCTTTGAAATAGACCTATTTGAAAAGGGGGGGGGTACGCTCCCTCCATCAGCTCTTGGTTTACGTAGTGTGGGCGTTATCATCAAGGATGTACCAGGCACCTACTTGACAAATTAAATAAGTAAAAAGGTTCATCCAAATATGTTTATTGAATGCATACTGATGAATTTTATTTTACATCGCTTTATCAAAGTAGCCGCCCTCTTAGTAACAAATTATACATAAAGTGTGTCTATAGCTTCTTTTTCGAATCCCCGGGATTTATCGATAGCATAGATTCGTATTCTTAAGGATTTCACAAATCCTCGTAATCCTAATTACAAGGCTGAGGGTAGGATTTGTATTCCTCGAAAGCTGCTTGCCATTCCACCATATCTTCTGTTTTCCATCGATTGTAATCCTCTCTCCATTGCTCCTCGAGGTCCGACATATCCACTACAAATATGATTTCGAAAGAAGAAATTGAAAATTTGAAATCGTCAGAAATTCATACCGGATCATCCGATAGTACTTTGAGATTGAAAACAACTTAGGAATGGTGCCACATTGATACTCCTAATTGAATTCCTTTTAACGGATTCGGCCGCATTATCGAAGAAAGGGTCGCATCTTCACCCTTCATCATCTTTCATAGTACCATGTCAATGATTATTTTTATATTTATATTGTTCAATTTATACTGATTTGTTTGCATATCTTCTGATGTGTTTTCAAAGAGATGTGGAATAAAATTGAATTGAATTGAAAGATTTCGTTTTTATTCCAGGTTTAGGACAATCTCCCCCAAATAAAGGGGGGGGGTGATGTTACGTATTTAAATATGTAGTCCTGATAGTTATATGTATATGTAATAACTTAATAAATAGATTTCAGCGTATGTGTTAATATGTTCTTTTCATTTGTTTTTCAGATTTCAGATTTTTAAAATTACTTTATTTCAGGCAGTCTTCATACTTACTTGATTGAATAACAAGACTTGGCAAGTGTTTGTTCCAAAAGTTGCACTGTCTTGCTTTTAATGCGCGACCGTTCTCGACAGCTGGGTCCAGAATTTTGTAGTCTAGATCAGGTAAACTAAACTTAGGCCATGCTTTGGGAGACACGTCTGGTAGTCCACCGACCATCTCTAAGTTAGGATTCCTGCAAATACATGGCAATACAAGCAAGAATGAAAATCTAAACAATTAAAAGAAAAGCGTGATGTTTGCCCTAAACACTTGCAGTAAGTGTTCAAATAATGAAACATATACAAAAACTCTGAAATACTGTTAATGTTCATGCGGTGAACAAAAAAACATCAACCCAGTATGCATTTGAGATTCTCTTTGGCAGTTATTGTATTATGTGTGTTTGTATGTCTTACAAAATTTGTTCACTGATGACATCCGAACAATTATTTACACAGGAAGCGAAGAAATGGAAATAGAGGTGGAAAGGGTAAAATTGTTTGAGGGAAAAGGCGGCAGGTCTTTAGAAATTGAGAGCAAGGCAAAAAGAAAATAATGATAACATTCAGAAATAAAGAAAGTGCCTTTTATGTGGTGTAATACGCAAGTACACAGAGGACTTCAATTACCCTGTCTTCGCAAAGTTGGTATAATATCGCATGACATCTACGGTGAAATCCACTTCTTCCAATGGCATGTTGTCCCACAAAGTCAGATAAGGATTAAAATGATATCCAAAGATGAACTGTAAATCTTCAGCGTGGGCCACGCCCTTCCACCCTGGTGAGGCCAGTTCGCTGGTCCACACGGTCTGGTTGGGTAAATGTGTAAAGTCATATAGATAGACATCCTGCCCTTCCTCAGCGTAATATCTTGCAAAGTCGACGGACGGACAGGCGAACGCCTCGTCAGTCTGGACTGCGATGTAGTCATAGAAATAGTTTACTTCGGGGTCGTCAGCGATAGTCCAGTCAACGTATTCCTGCATGATCGAATCGACGATGACATCATTGACGTACGTGTAGGTGAAACGTTCGAGCGCGTCACGGAATTCGGTTCTGTTGGCGTAGCCTTCGTCGGTGTTTATCTGTCTAAGGAAGGCCCTTGCAGCAATGAGACTTCCGTCATCTTTTGTAGCACCAAGCATGATGGGACACTTCTTGAAACGATTGGCCTTGACTAGACTGAGGGGGTTGTCTGGCAGAAAATCACCATCTACAGTCGGAACAAAGGGGATGACGTTCGTGGTTTCGAGAAGAATCTGTAATGTGAATTGAACAACTGTTGTGTTACACCCCTTAGAACACAATATGCATATGTGTATGTACTTCAGACCTTTAACATTTTTGTACAGAAAAAGTAACGTATTTACGACATGATTCATTTCTAAGTGTTAGACAAATTCCCGGTAGTGATAATGTCTTCAGTTAAGAACTAACTATTAAAGGTGGGGTGAAATCCAAATATCAGTTGATTCTTGTTGATGCACAGGGCTGCATAGAACTCAAGTTAGCCCCGTAGGAAAGCATAAAGACCAAACTTTAAACCCTTTTTTGGTGAAAAGAAAACAGACTTGATGTTTTCAGGACAGACCCATACGCTATAATTATGTAGGCAAAAACACTTTTTCTTGACACATGGGTATAATCGCCTTGATAAAGGTTCTACAATACAAAGTTTGTTTTCTTTGAAATCATATGTTATAATATATATAACCTACTCTGTCTATGGCAAACGTCAGTGTCTTCTCCGGGAGACCTCTCAGGCAATCCGCTAAAGCTTGGCTTGAACTTAAATCATCACAGCGGGCTGCTTCACCGACTCCAAAGGCATCATTTCTGGCCTTCGTAGCATCCGTCTCAACCGCCCATGGACTAGTAGCTGTGCCGCTCTTTTGGGTAAACAACAACAAAATAGATGGTCTGATAAACATAATCTATTAACTCATCAAATACTGAGATATCATATGTATTATTATAATTTACCTTGAGTAGCCACATCAGTTATAACACTTTTATTCCTGAGTTCCCTGTAATCGCATTCGCATTATCATCTCGACTTAATTAGCCCGGCTACCATGATAAGGCGCTCGGGAAATTCCAGGAGTTTCTTCCGACCGGTTCTCGTTAACCTCACCTGCATGACCTGGGTGAAGAGTGGCAAATGTAGATTCATATCTTACCAAAGGACATAAGTGCCATCTAATAATTATGATACAAACCCTGTGTCGCGTCAATCACGTCATGTGCCTTATCGACTGGACCAAGACACCAGCTCCTCCGATAATTATAACGTTTTCAAAGTAACAAGATATACATTTCTAGATATGGGTTTTATCATAACATAGTAAACGTTATTTCTTTCTTCTACTACTTACAACTAGGATTGCTCTCTGGAAGTATGGCTCACTTTCTGGAGAGAGAAGCTGAATACCAACACTACCAGCGCCAGCACTCTGCCCAAAGATAGTCACTTGATCCGGATCACCACCAAAGGCTTCAGTGAGGAGAAAACGAATTGGAGGATTATTTTAAGGTAAATTAATAAGTAAAGTAATAATTGTTTGATCACCGATGATTTTGATTTCTTGTCTTTTTCTCAAGGATGTGTAATGGCTCAATAGCAGAGTATTTATTTATTTATTTATTATTTATTATAGTTTTATTTTAACAGGGTGGTCTCATTCAAGTTCATTTCTGAGCCTGCTCTCCCAGAGAGCCCTGTATTCACATAAAAAACATGTACAATAATAACATGAATTCAAAACATACATACAAAGGTAAAATATACATGGTATATACAATAATTAAACATAGGTAACGAAAAACACGCATTAACAATAAATTATAAGGAAAAAAAAATACAACTATCAAATTGAAAAAACTAGATGAATGAAATGTAATAAATAAAGGTCAAATTAACGTGAAAATATGTTTACAAGGGAAACTGAAAGGTTTTGACATTCTTTTTAAAACTTTGCAGCGACTTACAATTTTTAATATGATAGGGTAATTTATTGTATATTTTAGCTCCTGAAACCGCTAAGGTTTTCGTTTTAAAATTTGTTTTACACTTTGGAATGAATAATGGACTGTTTAAAGCATAACGAGTAGAATATAATATCGGTCTTTTACTTATACATGGATTAAGATATGGTGGTGATAGGTCGTTTATGATTTTAAAAATCTAATGACCGCCATTTCAATTTACTCATTAAAACATTTTGGGGTGTAAAATATTCGGCACGAAGAACTAATCGTGCATATCTATTTTGTAATTTTTGCAACTTTGTTAGATTTTGTTTCGAAGTATTTCCCCATACTGAATTACAGTAGTTTAAATGCGGTAGGATAAGAGAAAAGTATAATGTAATAAGATTCTTACGGGAAATATAATTGCGTATACGTCTAATGCAGGCAATCGTACCCGATACTTTCTTAACAACTTCGTTTACATGTAACGACCATGTTAAGCTTTTGTCTAGTGTTACACCTAGATATTTCATACTTTCGACTGAGTCGAGTACATTGTCACTGTAACGAATACAAATATTATTATTTTGAATTTTTCTTTTGGAACCAAATAGTATTGTTTTGGTTTTATTTGCATTTAAAAACAGTCCATTGTATTTTAGCCATTTCAAGATACGGGTAAAATCTTTTTGGAGATTGTATTCACAAACTTTATAATCCTTTCCATGATGAAATACTGCCGTGTCATCTGCATATAAGGAAATCTTTGTCTTAGAATGGAGTTGCAGGTTACAAATATCATTCACATAGAGGCAGAAAATTAATGGCCCCAGTATTGATCCTTGTGGAATTCCTGATTTCACAGTTAGAAAATTACTCTTAGTCCCTTGCAAGAATACACATTGTTGCCTATTAGATAGATAGGATTCGAACCACTCAAGTTCAACTCCCCCAATACCATACAATAACATTTTCTTAATAATCAATGGATGTGGTATAACGTCGAACGCCTTTTTCAGGTCAAGAAAAATGGCTCCAGTGACCAGACCTTTGTCCATATTGTCAAGTATACCTTCGACTATTTCAGTCAAGCATGTTAGAGTTGAATGCCCTGGTCTAAAACCTGATTGCCGTTCACTTAACAAAGAATGTTTGTTTAAGTAAGAGTATATCTGATTGTGCACTGCTTTTTCAAATATCTTTGACATTGTGGGGAGAATGGAAATAGGTCGGTAGTTAGTTAATTCCATTTTGTTTCCACCTTTATGAATAGGGGTTATTTTAGCAACTTTGAAGTCATGAGGAACGTACCCTTTTGACAATGAACAATTGAACAATACTGTTAAGACTCTAACAATATGTGGGGCAGCTATTTTAAGTAGCTTTGGAGGAAGATCATCAATACCAACTGCTTTTGAAACATCAAGCTTGAGTAGTTCTTTTAATACAAAACATTCCTCGATCTCTGTAAATTTGAATTCATGTGCTGTTTGCGGTAATGTTTGCAATGCATTTATATTGAGATGAGAATCATTCGCTCCTGTTAGTTGGCTTTGAATATTATTGAAACTTTCATTAAACAATTCTGCTACTTTTTCTTTGTCTACTACAATTTGGTCATTTACAAGAATTTTATGATCAGAATTGGCATCTTTCTTTGGGAGTAAGTCTTTGAGTACTTTCCAGGATTTTTTCATATCATTACCATTTTCAATGCAAAGATTCTTATAATATTGTTTCTTTAACTTCTTGTTCAGTACATTTGCCTTATTTCTGAATTCTTTAAACTTTTCCCAGTAGTCTGTAGTTCTGTGTTTATCAAATTTGCATTTAAAATAATTCCTATCTCTTGCGATACATAAATATTCGTTGGTAATCCAAGGTGACCCCCTAGAACGTTTTCTTACTGTGACATACGGTGCATGAAGATCACAAATGTCTTTGAATTTACATTTGAAAATATTCCACATATTCTCAACATTGTGATTGTTTAAGTACAAATTATCCCAGTTTATATCTTTAACATCATTTTTGAAAAAAATTTCATTAAAGTTTCTAAATGAACGGTAGGTACTCACAGAACATATAGAGGGCGGTGGTTTTTCTTTCAATACAAGGTATATCAATAAATGATCACTTAGACCGATAGACCGTGTGCCACTCTCCAGTGATTTCAAATTATTTGACACAAGAATTAGATCAATAAGGGTTGTACTATTAACGGTTATACGTGTCGGGGTCCTTATCAGCTGAGACAAATGCATATTGTCACTCAGATCATGTATCTGCTTTGAAAGATTATTCTGAGTTAACATATTACAATTTAAATCACCTAATATTACAATATCATTTGATAACATACATATATTTTCTAAATTAATTTCTAGGTTATTGAAAAAAGCACTTCTACTGTTAGGTGGACGATATACAACTCCAAGATACTTTGGTTTGTGATTGTGTAGTCTTATCTCTAGCCACATAATTTCTAACTCACGGTCTTCAAGATCAGGTCGTCTAATATATGATATATTTTTTTGTATAAAACATCCAACTCCTCCTCCCTTTTCGTCTCTATCTAGTCTTTCAAAATGATACCCATCAATTTGTAACAATGAATTACAAATGTTTTCACTTAGCCATGTTTCTGACAAGGTCAGAATTTCGTACGGATTTTCTTTCAAATATAATTGCAGATCATCCACCTTATTTCTAAGACTACGAATATTTAAATGTGCAATTTTCAATCCTTTACCCTTTGGAAAGTCATTTATAGAGGTACAGGTATTCGTACTTAAGTCAATGTCTATATCAACAGAATTTGTATGGTTCAAGCTCACATTTCTATCTTTTACTATATCCTCAACATTCCAAAGCGGCATTTCTAGGAAAATACATTTGGTACATTGCCAATTGTGAAACTGTTCAGTTTTATCATCATATTGTTTGGAAGATACATCTCCACATGAAATATGTATCCATTGGTTACATTTAGTACAAAGTAGCGCTTTTTGATTACACTTTACGGGTTTCTCACATATATTACAAGGAAAGACATTGACCATGGTTAAAATGATGAAATAAGACACACAAAAAAACTTGAAATATAATTACAATTAATTTGAAATAACGTTCGTCTCCTTCTCAATTAAATTGAATATAACGCTTGAAATTCTCAACATGAGCCAAGCTGGCATTAATTTGGGATAATTTTGATCTCTAATAATACCTCCATTTTGTTACAAAGAGTAAATTGTTTCGAAATGGCAAACAGGTACATACAAGTTCATGAATAATTTCTCCAGCACCACCATCTGTGGGTGGAGGCTCAAACACTCAGTTCAAATTATATAGCAGAATTTCTCATATATACGCTCAGTTTGTCTAAGTCTCTCTCTCTTGTGACATTCACTCTTCCTTTTCCTTCTTTCAGTTTAATGCAGATACGTCTCAGTTTAATGCAGAGTAGTGGTCTCGAAGCAGGAAACTTCCAGACTGGCAGCTACCGGAAGAATGCTAGTACCCTTTTGTAGGGTTGCGTTAATTCTCATTTCGAAATCCCTCGGATATGAGTCAAAGCCTTGCGTTCTTGGTTGCTTGGCTACAAACACAAACACTCGCTTTCTTTAGAGAAAAAACATTATTATCATCATTCTACTTTAATTTGATTTTATGACCTTAATGACTTTAAATGTTTTCATTTCATTTTCTTTCTGAGTAAAGATTATGCTATGACAAATCAATCCAAATATTAGGGATCACACATGTACTTCCAACTCTCGTTAGTATCTCTCCACGACCACGCTTGTATTAGTCTATTAGTTAGGTGGGACGATAAGAAGTGATATCCACCACATTTTATGACACGTTTCTACAATAATTATCTCTACATACCTCCTATATTTTTCTGAACCCATTTAAGTGCTTCCAGTTGATCATACATTCCGTACATCCCTGGTAATACATCATCACCTGCGAAAGATAAAGACAATGATCAATTTTCCATTTTAATCTGTATACATCAATGTAATGGCTAATATTACTGAACCACGGTTTTTTATGATTTAATTTTCAAAGCATTACTTATTCACTGTATAGGGGGGGGGGTCTCTTAAACGCTCTAAAAGAATACCTTTAGAGTGAAACATAACAATGTGTATAAAGAAATTTGTATTAATTTGAAATGCAAGGGGAGTACGATTTTTTTCTAAAGAAGGAGAAGTTATAATTTGTTAACTGAATATGATTAAAAATAGGGTTCTTGGTAGAAAAACCTCAGTTGGATAATATAACTCTGAATATGCCAAATGGCAAGGATTATTAATACAATTAGTATCCGAATATATTCCGATAGGCATCGATTTTTTTCAGAAACTATGACTCAGTGATCAAAATGGAGAACAAAGATGGAAAGAAACGCTCATCACAAAAACTTGACGTTGGAAAAAGAACAGGGAAACATTTGCGGAAAATGATTGATAAAAACGTCATCACAATATCTTTTTAACAACATCTTTAATTCATTCATATCTTCACACAAAACCGTGAAAAACATGGTGCTATTAGCTTTGGTGCTGTCCATTTTACTTGTATAGAATCACTTTTTATATAAAAATAAATAGACTTACCTGTAGAGAGGAAGCCAAAACCGTTGAGCCTATAGTTGGTATTAACTAGGATCACCCCATGGTATCCGGAAAGGGCGTGGCCTTCATAGCCCAGTTTTGATGATGACCCTATCACAAATCCACCACCATGAAACCAGACCATTACAGGTGCATTGGTAGGCTATGTAGGTTAAAGAAAAAGTTAGATCGTTCATACCGCTTCAAGTAAGATAATTCCCGCTAGTTTAGTAAAGTGAACAGACTAATGCCTGATAATAAACTTCTTCAAAATCGAAGGATTTAAATATATTATTTAGCTTTTATATTTGAAATACATTGTCTGAGAAATATTCTAATTCTTCTAAGCATGGTTTATTTAGCTAAGTTGATATTCATAACAAACCAAATTGGTTATGAGCCATAGCTAAAGTACGAATAAGGAAATTAATTGGGTGAGTCGTAAGATTCCGAAAGCCAAAATAAGAAAATAACCCTCTAGGCTCTCTCTATGAATAGATACGAAGAGAATCAATGTAAAATGACAGTATGATACGACACTGCTTCGAGAACTACTGTAGACCTACCTTGGGGTTTGGCGTCCAGATATTGAGATACAGGCAGTCTTCGCTCTGGGTTTCATCCTCAAGCTCTTCGGGTAGTTGCCAGCATATACTACTGTATGTAGTAGCATTCAGCCAGCCATCTTCCAATTCGTCAAGCGGCTCGGGTTTCATGAAGCGATACTGAGAGGCGTTCTTGGCGAACGGGATCCCACGGTAGGCGTTGACGTGGGTGTCTACCGAGGGATAGTCCTGTTTGAAAGGGATGGTCTCCCCATAGATGGTCCCAAAATCCGGAACGTTAACTACAGGCTGCTGGCCGGTAACATAGGTTACCAATAAAACCATCAATGCACAAGAGACTTGCAAGAACATATTCAGTTTGGTCATCTTGAGTTTGTCGTTTATAGTGTTTTGTTGGTTGAATGTAACTAAAGACTTGTTATATCACTGTGCTGCCAGCCTTACAACGATATGTATCCATCATATGCTACACATAAACTTACAATAATAAAACTCTGTTCCTCCTCCACAATTTATCGGTAACTAATTACTAGTAATTAAGATCGGTTGTGATACATTTGATGACTTAGCAAATGAAAACAGTCGAATTGCTTTTGGTAAAAGGTTAAGTGATGACGATGTTATTAATCGTACAAAACTTTGACCTCGATATTATCATCAAATAATAAAACCACTTGACACAAGAGACACTTATGTTCTACCCTTATCATTCAGATTAGGACGGCTTCCATGATTATCTACCCTGAGAGACCTCACGAGTGTACTATCCGATAAGGATGTCAGTTTTATTTACTTACCTTTTTGTGATATCTCAAGTTTGCTCGGTGTTGCACAGTACCCTATTTGTAATCAATTAGTATCGCTCGTAATTAGCTGTTTGCAGTGTCCAGGGAAAACAGTTTAAACAAATTTATTC